GTGCATATTGGAAGGCAAGGAAGTTATTAAATTCGACACAGACTGTTTTCCTCTTAATTTCAAACCCATACAGAATTATTCCCTTTTTGCTTTTGGTTTTAGCTTTTAAGTAATTTTACTTTATAATGGGGGATGTTGTGAGGTTCCTTTCTTTCTATCTTTCTTTTCTTTGTATATAGAACATATACAAAGGATCGAAATAGTAACAATTGAAGCATTGTTCAAAGGTTAAGAAGAGTTTCATGATGCTTGGTTTCTTTCAGCAATCCCTTAAAAACCTTCATAGCCGGTGATGTTTTTTGAGGCCAACTTTATCAACTTGTGACGGTTTATTAATCAATGGCGTTGCTGTGGGGGAAGAAAAAAAAAATCTAAAACTGAACACGACTATAGTTATTTGGAATATTAATTGCTTTATACACGACAGATTCACAAGCAGATTTCAAACCAAAATCCCATCAGTTTTTATATGTTATTGGAAGCTTTGGTCATATATGAACATCTGACCATTTACAGCGAATAAAGGTGCGTCTTGTTATATTTACATTAGGGAAGACGACACTGCATTACTAAGACAAATACACAGGTAGCAAATGCAAGTATACTTCAAGAAAAAGAAATATGTTAAAAGTGAACAGTGTAATCTTCTTTCTTTCAGAATATGTTTTATATTCAAACAGACCACTCGGTTTAGACCAACAAAAAATATGGAAATGGTTTTTTTTTTTTTAATGCAAAATGGAAGAAGGTTTCTGTGGGTGGTGACCAGGGAGAAACAATTTAAGATGCAAAAAGGGTGAACGAAGGAAAAGAAATATTTAGGAAAAATGATTTTGGCATTTATGAATATGCATTCCCATTTCCCACCAGCCCCTGGTTTTATATTAGTTTTCCTTTTCTGGATTAAAGCCCCGTGTTTTTGGTCATGAACATTTGCTGGATTAAAGCCCTGGGTTTTTGGTCGTGAACATTTGCATATCTAAATTTGTCACTTCTGTTGGGAATATTGACTCAAATTCCATAAGAGATTTGTTTGAAATTTGTTAAAGATTTGTTAGATATTACTTTATGGACAAGAAGACTTACAAAAGAAGAATTCTAAGAGAAAGAGGATTCTTAATAGGTAAGTTTGACTTGTAAGAGAATAATTCTAAAAGGAAAGGGATTCTTAAGAGGAAAGTTTGACTTACAGTAGAAGAATTCTAAGAGGAGAGAGATTCTTAATGAGTAAGTTTATATGGTTATAAATAAATGAAGTCTCTACAGGGTTTGGCATGAGAAAAAGATGTAAGAGAGTTGTAGGGTTTTGTGGGATAGACACCCTATAGGAGTATTGAGGCTCTACGTCTTATGAGTGTGTATGTTTTTTTATGAGTGAACTAGAGGAGACTGAGAGGGTCCATATAGGTATGATGTATAGGAGCATATGAGTATGTGTTTGGTTATGTTGAAATAGTGCACAAGAGTTTGGGTTTGTGTTTGTTTGGGTTAAGAATACTCTATAGGATTATAGGAGATTGAGAGCGTCTTATGAGTATTGATTATTGAGTGAAGTTGATGATTTGATGTAAGTTTGTAATTCTCTACAACTAGTGGATCTTGTTTCTCATCCGTGGATGTAGGTCAATTGGATCGAACCATGTTAAATTATTGTCTCTTGTGTATTTGATTTATTATTTGATTTTACTTCCACTGGTGTGATTGGATTGGAGACTTTTAGCCCAACAAATGATATCAGAGCTGTGATATTCCCCAACAAGTGGTATTAGAGCTGAAGGTTTGAAATGTGAGAAGAGTTAAAAATTCAAGATGTGAAAAAAGTCGAAGGTTCAAGACATGAAAGAGTTAAAAGTTTGAGATGTGGGAAGAGCTAAAGGTTTGGGAAGTGCATGGTTTGAAACATAAGAAGAAGCAAGTCCAGAAGAGCTCAATTCGAGAGAAGAGTTCGAGTTTAAGTTTTGAAGATTGAGAATTGGTTTGTAAGAAGCATGAAGACACAAGAGAAGAGAAGATGATTGTGAGACTTTCATTACAGGTAGAGTCAAGCATGTCTAGCATGAAGACAGATGATTGATGAAATTTGAGTTAAGGTGAAGATTGTTGAGAATATTGACTTGAATCCCATAAGAGATTTGTTTAAGATTTGTTAGAGATTTGTTAGATATTGCTTGATGGACAAGAAGACTTGCAAAAGAAGAATTCTAAGAGAAAGAGGATTCTTAATAGGTAAATTTAACTTGTAAGAGAAAAATTCTAAAAAGAAAGGGATTTTTAATAGGCAAGTTTGACTTACAAGAGAAGAATTCTAAGAGGAAAGAGATTCTTAATGGGTAAGTTTATATGGTTATAAATAGGTGAAGTCTCTACAGGGTTTGGCATGAGAAAAAAATGTAAGAGAGTTGTAGGGTTTTGTGGGATAAACACCCTATAAGAGTATTAAGGCTTTACGTCTTATAGGTGTGTATGTTTGTTTATGAGTAGACTAGAGGAGACTGAGAGGGTCCACATAAGTATGATGTATGAGAGCATATGGTTATGTATTTGATTATGTTGAAATAGTGCACAAAGGTTCGGGTTTTTATTTGTTTGGATTAAGAATACTCTATAGGACTATAAGAGATTAAAAGCGTCTTATGAGTATTGATTGTTGAGTGAGGTTGATGATTTGATGTAAGTTTGTAATTCTCTACAACTAGTGGATCTTGTTTCTCATTCGTGTATGTAAGTCAGTTGGACCGAACCACATTAAATTATTGTCTATTGTGTATTTAATTTATTATGTGATTTTACTTCCACTTGTGTGATTGGATTGAAAGCTTTTAACTCAACAAATGATATCAGAGCTGTGATGTTCCCCAACAAGTGGTATCAGAGCTGAAGGTTTAAAATGTGAGAAGAGTTGAAAATTCAAGATATGAAAAGAGCCGAAAGTTCGAGACGTGAAAGAGCTAAAAGTTCGAGATGTGGAAAGAGCTAAAGGTTTGAGAAGTGCATGGTTTGAGACATGGGCAGAAGTAAGTCCAGAAAAGCTCGATTCTAGAGAAGAGTTCGAGTTTAAGTTTTGAAGATTGAGAATTGATTTGTATGAAGCATGAAGACACAAAAGAAGAGAAAATAATTATGAGACTTCTATTGCAGGTGGAGCCAAGCATGTTTAGCATGAAGACAAATGATTGATGAAATTTGAGTCAAAGTGGAGATTGTTGGAAATATTGACTCAAATTCCATAAGAGATTTGTTTGAGATTTGTTAGAGATTTTTTAGATATTGCTTGATGGACAAGAAGACTTGCAAAAGAAGAATTCTAAGAGAAAGAAGATTCTTAATAGGTAAGTTTAACTTGTAAAAGAAGAATTCTAAAAGGAAAAGGATTCTTAATAGGCAAATTTGACTTATAAAAAAAGAATTCTAAGAGGAGAGAGATTCTTAATGGGTAAGTTTATATGGTTATAAATAGGTGAAGTCTCTACAGGATTTTGCATGAGAAAAAAATGTAAAAGAGTTGTAGGATTTTATGGGATAGACACCCTATAAGAGTATTGAGGCTCTACGTCTTATAGATGTGTATATTTGTTTATGAGTGAACTAAAAGAGACTGAGAGGGTCCACATAGGTATGATGTATGGGAGCATATGGGTATGTGTTTGGTTATGTTGAAAGATTGTACAAGGGTTTAGGTTTGTGTTTGTTTGGGTTAAGAATACTCCATAGGACTAGAAGAGATTAAAAGTGTCTTATGAGTATTGATTGTTGAGTGAGGTTAATGATTTGATATAAGTTTATAATTCTCTACAACTAGTGGATCTTGTTTCTCATCCGTAGATATAGGTCAGTTGGACCGAACCACGTTAAATTGTTGTCTCTTGTATATTTGATTTATTATTTGATTTTGCTTCCACTGGTATGATTGGATTGGAAGCTTTTAACCCAACAAATGATATCAGAGCTGTGATGTTTCTCAATAAGTGGTATCAGAGCTGAAGGTTTGAAATGTGAGAAGAGTTGAAGATTCAAGATGTGAAAAGAGTCGAAGGTTCGAGACGTGAAAGAGCTAAAAGTTTGAGATGTGGAAAGAGCTAAAGGTTTGAGAAGTGCATGGTTTGAGACATGGGAAGAAGAAAGTCCAGAAAAGCTCAATTCGAGAGAAGAGTTCGAGTTTAAGTTTTGAAGATTGAAGATTGGTTTGTATGAAGCATGAAGACACAAGAGAAGAGAAGATGATTATGAGACTTCTATTGCAGGTGGAGCCAAGCATGTCTAGTATGAAGACAGATGATTGATGAAATTTGAGTTAAAGTGGAGATTGTTGGAATATTGACTCGAATCCCATAAGAGATTTGTTAGAGATTTGTTAGATATTGCTTGATGGACAAGATGACTTGCAAAAGAAGAATTCTAAGAGAAAGAAGATTCTTAATAGGTAAGTTTGACTTGTAAGAGAATAATTTTAAAAGGAAAGGGATTCTTAATAGGCAAGTTTGACTTACAAGAGAAGAATTCTAAGAGGAGAGAGATTCTTAATGGGTAAGTTTATACGGTTATAAATAGGTGAAGTCTCTACAGGATTTTGCATGAGAAAAAGATGTAAGAGAGTTGTAGGGTTTTGTGGGATAGACACCCTATAGGAGTATTGAAGCTCTACGTCTTATGGGTGTGTATGTTTATTTATGAGTGGATTAGAGGAGACTGAGAGGGTCCACATAGGTATGATGTATGGGAGCATATGTGTATGTGTTTGGTTATGTTGAAAGAGTGCACAAGGATTTAGGTTTGTGTTTGTTTGGGTTAAGAATACTCCATAAGACTAGAGAAGATTGAGAGCATCTTATGAGTATTGATTGTTGAGTGAGGTTGATGATTTGATGTAAGTTTGTAATTCTTTACAACTAGTGGATCTTGTTTCTCATCGTAGATGTAGGTCAACTGGACCGAACCACGTTAAATTATTATCTCTTGTGTGTTTGATTTATTATTTGATTTTGCTTCCACTGATGTGATTGGATTGGAGACTTTTAACCCAATAAATGATATTAGAGTTGTGATGTTCCCCAACAACTTCCACGAAATCCAGCGACTATCTGTTTCATCTTCCAAGTAATTATCGATTAGGAATCTAGAGCCGTAGCAGCGTGGAAGATTTGATTTTAAGGTGGTGTCATTCGGTTGGAACACTATCAATGATAAACACAAGTTATACCATCGAAATTCTTTTTATCTAACAACTGTTTTGTTTAGTCATAAACCTCCGTGGATAAACATCAAAGGCAAAATATATACACACACACACACACACACCATATATATATATATATATATATATATATATATATATTCTTGTTTTAGAAACAAATCAGAAGAAATCTCAAACAAATACTCTTGCACAATATTTACTCATCCTCTAATAAACCTTCCATTTATAGCCACAAAATTCACAACTTGTTCTCTCCTGAGAGTCTCTTGATTGCCTCCTCTTCCACTATTTTGTTCATTTAATTTACAGTGCCACCCTCTTTACACTGTATGATGTTGCTCAGCCTCAATCAAAATATACAGTATAGTGACAACACCAACTCACAGTTGTACCTATAATCAGGGCTCTGAATGTTCAGGAACAGCATCTGGTAAGGATGGTGACGATGCACCACTAATTCTGCTAGGCACTGGTGTGTTCCTTCGAGATTGGCGTTTTGTGGGTACTAACACACTCTCATTTTCTTCTAACCTAAGGTTAAATTCCTCCTCCCCATCACCATCCTCTTTGAAAACTGGATGGACGTACGCATTTTGAAGATAGGGTTTCAAATTGAGGTTTGGCTCCATTACCCGTTCCAAAGTGTCTTTCGTCATTGCTTCCTGAAACAAACAACGGGAAATATTAATAGTGATACAAGGTTTTTTTTTAGGTCATCGATTCATAGAAGAGAAAAATTAACAAGTAGAGTAAAAATAAGCAAATCATCACTATACGTAAATTGAAGCTGCAGCTCATCTATTATTCTGGTAGCAGTCATTTACTTAATTTCATTAGATAATGATAGTGATGAGAATGAAAGCTTGTTATGAATTGAATCATTCAAGTTCAGAGAATTTTGTTTGATTCCTTATTTGTTGTAATCTGTTGTGATTTATTGCAGGATCCATGATTTCTTTAGCTTATTCAAAAATGAATCATTCAAAATACATATGAGAAACCATCACTTGTAATGTGCAAGCACCAACAAACCTGTAAAGGATATCTAACAAAAGCAGGTTCATAGCGTGCTTTGCAGAATCTGTGAAACCAAATTGTGAGGACAGCGAGAGCAATGAGAACTGGTGTTGACTGAGCAGCACTCTTTGTACTTAACAATCCAATCAGAGCAACTTGCGAGATAACCAATGCAGTTATAATGCGTCCATGGACATGAGGCCAGAATGCGGCAGCACTCTCATACTCTTGATTGTAAACATTAATGATCTATATTTTCATAGAAAAAAAACAAAAAAAAAGAAGAGAGTCAGACACAACTAAAGAAAGATTCATTTACCACTGTACTGAATATTCCATAACTAAGTTCTTTACCTGATGACGGAAGACAACATAAGCTAGTCCGAAGAAAACTATAATGAAAGGAAGTAGAACAGGTGTCACAGTAGCATAAACCAGGCCAAGTAGAAAATAGAGTTGTATACGAGGTTCTCTACTGTTGAAGCTCAAACTTCCTGGATTCATTGCCTCCTCCCTATCCTTTTCGGTTTTCACCAAGAAAAAATTCTTCAGGTGGTAAAGTATAAGCGATTTCAGCATCAAAATCTCTGCTGCTATTCCAGCCCATCCATCAACCATGATATAAGTAATGAAAAAAGTTGCTTGTTGTGGTACGGCGACACCAATTGTTTTAGGAACTCTGCAAAGGAGGAAAAAAAAAACCTGTTTATATCGTAATGAAGGCATATTTGACACCAAAACCAGAAACAGTAAATGCAAAATTCCTCACTTATGCAGCTAAATATATAGAACTCCACAAATAATATATGTTTCGACTTTTGAAAGGCATGGTAGAAACAATTGTAAACTTAGAAGCTAGCCCAAGATATGTCCATCAAAGGAAAATCCCTATGATTCCATAAGAAACAAATCTTCAGCCAGTGCCAATTAAATTCTTGGAAATCTAGCAAAGGTTTCCGCTAATCAACAGGAATCACACTTTTGTGTATAAAATGTAATTACCCCTTTAAATTGTAACAGAGATAGTCAGACGACTACAAGATGCTTTTCCTTGTAAATGTAACCATTTTAATGGAGAAAACCAGTCAACTGAGAATCTATACCAAAAGCACAGATATTTGATACTACGTATGAAAGGACACCCATGTATAAACAGCAATTGCATCACTTAAAGCAGATATACAAAAAAGAAAAATGGAAGGAAAACATACTCATTTGCTGATTGCTTAATAAATGAGTTTAGATGATCCAGTGCAGTGCCAGCAATTATGCTGCCGAGGAACACATTCACCAAATTGAAAAGATAGTATCTAGTTGCTGATCTCCTCTCTAACGATGATAGTGATGTGAATCCTTCAAACTTGGACATAATCATCAATATTGTTGGCAGAAAAATGAGAAAGAGCTTCAATACAATACCAGGTAGAAAACCTTGGATAACTGATTTAATAAATTTTCTGCAAAGGAAAAGAGGTAATATCAATTGTTATAGCAAGGTGATCTAAATAATGGCTCAAGATTTTGAGATTAAAAAGGAACTAACATTTCAATTAGGGGCTTCAGGAATGGTGCTGCTTTCTCAAGGCTCTCAATGCTGGCCAGAGCTTGTACAGATGCAATTGGGATCATGAAAAAGAAAGTCAGGAAGAAGAATGCTACAGCCATGATCAGCCTCCTAACTGCTAGTGACACGTATGGAATTGCCAGGTTTTGCCAATAGACATCACGTGGCTCAGGCGCCCACTCTGTTAACCAAGAAGTTGGATTCCTGGATTGTTGGGTTTGAGCACAAACAGCTGCACCCCATCGAGATTTAAAGGAAACAAATGCTGCTGGCATTATGGATTTTGGATCTTTTTTTACCCTCTCTCTCTCTTCAGCTATCTGAATATGAAAATGAGCAATCATTAAATGCGATAATGCAAAGTAACTCGTATTTCAAAGTTGGATCATTTAATACAACAATGAAAGATATTGCTTAAAATATGACACAAGAACAGATTTTGGCATTTTCTTGTGGTAGCAATAGTTAAAGTAAGCTGCTTCGTAGTTTTAAAAACTTAGGCTCAATAAATTGAGTCAATCTAGAAAATGACTGAGGCTTGGATGCAGCATATGAGAACAGGCTTGAATCTTTTGAATGAGTGAACAATTAAATCAAACAATCACAAAAGAATGTGCATGATGAAAAGGAAATACTTACTTCCTTGGATAACTTATCAATTTCAGATATGTGATAATCAATGGCATCCACTTTTTCACCCCAGAGCCCAAGAAAACCAGTCTGGCAGAGAGAAAATATGCTTGTCAATAAATATAAAGCAAAGCTGAATGTCAGCAAGAGACTGCAGTAACTTACCTTCATAGAAAGCCTTTTTGCATTATTCCTGGAATGCTTCAGTTGGTAATAGTCAAGCCAATTCTGCTTACTTTTCCTCTTCTCCACCAACTTAGCAAGTTTGTTTGCATTGCATACCACCTGCATATATTTTTAAGGAGAACTAGATCATAAACCGAATTGTGTAATAATCTTTGAACATTGTAAAATGACTACTATTATAGACATCTTTGGGCACGAAGTATGGAGTAGAATGGTGAAAAAGTAGAAGAAGACATTAATCATTATTATTAAACAAACGCAAGAGGAACTGACCTGATGTGTAAGATAGTTATCCGGGTGATTGACCAGGAAAAAATGCTCCACAGACTCGCTAACAGATTCATCAGGATCTGGAGGTACATTCCTAACAAGCACCTACAACAATCAAATTTCATTCAGAAGCATTTTAGTGAAAAATCTCAATCCAATAATATTGCACAATGTTGTGACTAGGAAACTTGCATGAATGTCTCAAATCTTCTTTAAGGCAAAATGGCCCCTCAGAAATTTGTAATTTGATTAATTTTCAATAGAAGAATATTTTATTGGTCTAACTGCAGTCATTCAACTAAACCTCAGGGATCAATACATCATAGAGAATCGGAAAGAAGAATATCCACGAAATGATGTCAATCAATTTCATAATTTTTATACCAAGGTGAAAGTCTGCTAATTGAAGAAGTTACATCATGGGCTATATAATCTGCACATTGACCTCAAAGCATTAACCTCTCAACATCAGTATAATCATTAGCAACGCATGAAAATGCTCGAAATGTGATAAATTTCACTTTCCAAAAATATGTCTGTGCTCAAATGAAACCAAAATAATATAAAGGAAATCCATGACTTCTTCAAAATATAAAGCAAATTGCAAATTCTACAAAGATGAACAACATATTAGGGCCTACCAAAATGCAATAAATGATACATTGTTCCCAATTCTCTTAAGAACTTCACTTATTTCAACGTTCAAGTTGATTCTAACAAACTTAAAATGTTAAATAAAGAATTCCCTAAATGAATAGCCAATCAACAAGAAATATTAAATGTCCTTGAATTTCTAATGAAGAACAAAGGTTACATGATAATAATCCATAAAACTAAAAGTATAAATTTAAATTAATTTTGATAATAATGGAAAGAATAGATCTTACAGTAAATTGATCTGGCCGACGTTTTTCTGATGCAAGAAATTGCAACCTCATAGACGCAACTTTCTCATACTCCTTTCGCAACACATAGCATGTCCAAAAGGTAAAAGCATAAGCCATTACAATATGAGTCCAAAACCTACAACACAGGATTAAATATTATTCTACTGCAATATCTAGTGTAAAAAGAAAAAACTGATGCTCTATAACTATAATGAGTTTATCTGAATGATAGATTAAGACATTGCGATTTAAATGACAGATTAAGACAAAAGAAGTTGGCAATGATAGAAGATCTCCTACCTATCTGATCCAAGTGGAATGTTTGAAATAGAGAGCTTGTCAATGTCACTAGAAGTTACATTCTTCAGCTGCAATTCCAATGTTTTGTTTGTGTAATTAACCGGCACTAGAACTGCCCACGCAAGGAATGCGATAGGGACAAAAATCTTTAGCCTGCATGCAAAATAACAAGAGAGCAATCAGAACAAGACAACGGATGAAATAAAAAATGATAAGGTAATTAACTTTCTTCATAGCATATAAACAAACTTCACCAGCAGAGACTAAAAAGGTGATTAATTTGCCTAGCATTTCATAAAAATTTTCTCATCTTAACCAAGAAAAAAATTAAAAATATATATAAACCCCTCAAACTTACTAAGATAAGATCAGTACAAAAAGAACAGTTAAATTGGCAAAAAAAAGCATATACAGCAGAGGTAACACTTCCTTTTAGTGCATAAGCAACAAAGTAATAAAAGTAAAGCAAGACATGAACAGTTAGAAATTGAGAGGGCCTGCAGCATACCCTATCAAGTAAATGTGCAAATAAACAGCCGAATCCAATCCAGCGTGCTCAATAAGCTCAAGTTCTGGCATTCTTAGTGCCTCTGGCATCCAATTCAAGAACCTCAAGTAGGAACGAAAATCTAAATTGACAAATTTCCTCACAAATGCTCCAGACCTGGAAGGACTGCTTCTTAAACCCTTGAGATACCATTTAGGAAAATACACCCTATCATTGAAAGGTTGAAGCCTCAATATGGCAAAGGCTAGAAAGAATACAAATGCACTGAGCAAATTAATTGCTGCTGCAACCCCTATATCTTGTATGGTCGCCATCTATATAAAATCTCCCCTGCATAAACAAAGATAATTCCAAATCAGGAAATCTACCAAATTAGACAATTAAACTCTCCAATATATTACTGCTATAAACATAAAAATCACTGCTTCAAACAGAAAACTCACAGCAAAATCACTGGTTTTCCATATAAGCATAAAAAAGCTGTATTTTTCACTAATTAAAACTACCATTTTCCAAACCAAAAACTAACTCAGTTTCACCATAAAAGAAAGAACAATTCTTTTTAAGTCCCCTCGTTTAAGATGAATAAATTCAATCACAATCAACATAAATCATCAGTAAAGGGAAATTCTTACGTGTTTGTGATTCTTCAAGTGAAATAAAGGAACAATCTTTGTGCTATCTAAAAAGCCAAAGAGAGCCCTTTCGACGGTTTTTTGGCAGCTTCGGATCAGAAGTCGAATTAAGGAGTGTAGGGATCGCTTCAGAACTCAATTAAAGCAAGAACATTCCTAGTACTTAGGCAGGGAAAGTGAAACGCACGAAACGGAAAACCAAAAACCAAAAATCCTTCTTCTTGTCAGAAACAGAAGCCAAACAAACAAAGAGAAGAATATGTTTAACAATTGCGCGGGAGGCTTCTTTATTACAAAGATTTTGTTCCGACTGTGTTCAGGTTGGCCTGATGTTACGTTTTGGTATCGTCTGTTTCTTTTTAATGTCCTTTCCGAAATCGACGGGTTTGATTTTCTTAATTACTTCTGAAGTGTAAATGGTAGTGGTCAATGTCGGCAAGGTGCCACGTGGGTTTTGCAACGGCTACTTTGGCTTTTGGAGATGGTTGACCGCGTGGATATAGCGTACGTTACGTGGGGTACGGGGATAGCTGAAAGAAGAGGAGACAACAAGAATATAGGTGGAGGAGATTTTATTGGTAAATTAAAAAAATAAAAAATTTTGGACAAAATACTAAAATTGTCGTATTAACATTTATCTCCATTTGCTTATTAATAAAATGAATTACCCTTCGAACAAAATTTGTTCTCTTTGTCAATTTGCTTAATTAGTTGTAATCAGGAACAAAGCTCTCCTCGTTTATTTAAACTTTGAAAAAAAAAAAAAAAAAAAAAACAGGTGAGACAAACATTGTAATTTTTTTCATCATGTGGCCAGCAGCGGGCAGACAGGGTTGCAGGCATTGCCCAATGACTTGCAGTTAATGGAATTGTCACTTATCCAAACCAAGAAATCACAGAAAAAGTTTGAATGATTCGTGGCTGTGTGACGTGCGATGGATGCAGCGCGTTGAATCCGTGGGTACCTGTTCATCCTTTCCTTCCCCTGCCCTTTGTTGGCCCTTTTTCTTAATAGCTCGAGATTTTTATATGACGAGAAAAAGTTATATTGTCGCATTAATGTATATTTTTTATTTAATTATATAAATAAATTATATTATTAAAAAAATTAATATTTATTACATATCGTATGTGATTATTAACTGATAAATATTTATTTTAATAAATTAACTAATTATTTTATAATAAATAATATTTTATTATTATGTAATATGATTTGAATGAAATAAATATATAATAAAATATAACATAATTGTTTTGTACAATTTTTTTTATCTTTTATGAAATATTAAATCTTTATAGGGAAAGAAAAGAAAAGTGTTGTTGTAATGAACCGTCATGTAATTGGATGAGCATTGGGTGGTTGTAAACGGTAACAACGCATTTATTTTGACGATTTCAGTTGAATAAGAAGTAGAAATATACTACAATTTAACGTTTAGCTCAACTACCATAACTAACCATCCTGAAATTCCTATTCAACAAGTAGAAACAGTATTAATAAGTTTTTGGAAGTTTACAATAAGAGGTTGCCTATGCCACAATTATGCCATGCCAACTGATGATTTAGACGCTATTAGGGCAATTTAAGTGATGATTCTGAAAGACAGAGAGGTAAGAGCCTGTGTGATGCACTTGGATCATGTGCGTATTGGAGGGTAAGGAACTTATTAAATCCGATGGAGGCTGTTTTCCTCGTAATTTCAAACCCATACAGAACTGTTCCCTTTTTGCTTTCGGTTTTAGCTTTTAGGTTTACAACGGGAGATGCCGTTAGGTTTCTTTCTTAATTCCTTTTCTTTGTATATAGAACATATACAAAGGATCAAACTAGTAACAATTGAAGCATTGTTCAAAGGTTAAGAAGAGTTTCATGATATTTGGTTTCTTTGATCAATCTCTGAAAAACCTTCATAGCCTGTGATTTTTTTTCAGGCTAAATTTATAAACTTGTGACGGTTTATTAATCCAAGGCGTTGCTGTAGGGAAAGAAAAAAAATATAAAACTGAACACCACTGTAGTTATTTGGAACATTAATTGCTTCATACACGACAGATTCACAAAGAGATTTCAAACCAAAATCCCATCAGTTTTTATATATTATTGGAAGCTTTGGTTATATATGAACAGCTGACCATTTAAAGCAAATAAAGGTGCGCGTTGTTATATCTACATTTTTCAGTGAAGACGACACTACAAATAGACAGCTAGCAAATGCAAGTATCTTTCTTTGAATCTTGGAAATCATAAAAAGAAGTATGTTAAAAGTGGGTAAGCCATGAAACCTACTTTCATTCTCTTCCTTCCGTCAATTGCTGAAACCAGAAAAATAGCAAAATCAAGCATGGCAAATAAGAGACATATAGGCACACACAAAACTGAATTGGAATGAATACTTCACAATCCATATTTGGGCTTTTGGGCCCAATCAGAAATGGAAAGTGGAAGATGCAGGGGCATATGACATGGTAGCATGTAGATAAGCAATCTTTAACAAATCATTTATTATCCATGAATGGCAAAAGTTCATATGCTTGAATGCAATACTTAAATACCTGAACGTATCGTTGCACATCATTCGAAGTATGGATAAGCCCTGTGCTGAAGTGAGACTGAGCATAATCTTCAATATTCTCTGGCCTGCAGGTCATTATTTAATATAATTATGCTGCTTAGGGAGAGAATTTCTAATAAAGTTAGAAACTAGATTTTGTTATGAAACTATAGAAGTTCATTATAGATCCAATTTTCACATATCTCGAACCATGGTTCGATTGTCTTCTAGTAAAGTTAGAGAACACAGCAAGGACTTACAGAAGGTTTAAATAATAATTTACATCTCATTTTACTTTTTCCAGACATTCAAGCAGGAAGCAATCAAATTGGGCATGATTAATGCAGTAAGTACTGTCTGAGAAATTTTAAGTGTCTTCACCAATAAGATTACCTTTTTAAAAAATGATTAATATATAACGGCTGGTTGTGACAGAAAAATTACCTGTAGACATAGTTCACCATGATACCTGCACTTTGACGTAAGCCTTTTTCTGATCGGTCAGCCATCCAGTTTATTCTTTGAACCATCTGTTCCACACTTAAAAGTTATTAGATGAGAGTGGAAATTAGTACTGCATCTTCAAGAACATGCTTTCTTGGCTCTCCATTTTATAATCAATTAGTGCAGCTAGCAGTTAAGAACATATCTGCAGTTTGTTAAATTATAGAAATAACATATCACTCATATAATCAATCTTTGCACCTAAAGAAATGACCATTCTGAAACAAAATCCCTCATAGAATTATTTAATTAATATAGAGGAAGATTCAGAAACTAATCAACATGTTCAGCCAAAAGGACTCAAGATGATCCATTCTGCAAATGGAAGTTTGCAACAGAATCTAGAGCTTTTCCTCTCTTTTTCTCTTGCAGAAGGTACCTAAATTTGAAGAATTGGCATCAATTAATTTTTACCTGAAGAAAACACAAGCTCCATATATTAAGCAAAGAACCAATTAATCTGACTCTAAACAGCTTAACAAGTTTCTGCGCTTCTGTTCCATGTAACACGAGTTAAAGAAACTAAAGATGTTGGTACTCGGTCAATAATAAGAGACAGAAATTTCAATTGGGAAATATACCTTGCACATAGTCGCATTAGAGGTGGTTCTAATGCTGAAAGCAATTTAGCTGAACTAGTCCACTCATGACTTGTTGATGTCAGCAAGTTCAACATTATTTCCATGCCATTTTTTCCAGCAGCAAGATCCCTGTCACAGATAATGGCAATATGTAGACACCATATATCCATTTCAGGAGTATGAGATTGAAAAAATGAGAATGCCTAAATACAATAATACATGATGAACCACAACAATCACAAATAGGAAAAATAATATGTAAGACAGTGCCTTGTTTTGGCAACAGCAGATAAGTCAACTTCTAATAGAACAATATTCCAGATGGCATGAAAAATAATCTGGAAACTGTTCATCTTCAGAAAACCCAGAAGTCCCCTTGAGCACACCCAAAAAGAAAAAAAAAATTGAATGGAACACATAAGAAGCTTACCCAGATGAATCCACAACTGCTCTTTCTTCTTCTGGCTCAAGTACATTCTCATAGAAAGTTAGCCTAGATCTATCAGCCGATGAACATGATATGTCCTCTGCTTCAGCAAGTTTTGACTGAGATGCCAACTTGGACAGAAGCCACTGCATGAATCCTGGGATAGGGCTAAGTGTAGCAAACACCTTTGTAGTGAGAGGAAAAGGAATGTCAGTAAGCATGGTCTCAATCAAAACTTTAGTAGATATATAATATTATGTGGCCGTAAAAAATGTAAAATATGTTTATTTTGAGTTGCAGGCACAAAATGGTGCACTGATCTGATGGAATATGTAAGAAAACAGGTCATGGAAATGTCCTGTATGATGCCAAGTATATTATCGAAAACCTATTGAAATTCCAATTTTGTTGACGCCACTGCACAAGAATGAATAAGGGTCAAATACTAACTCATAACGCAGAGAGTTCAGCATAACCACAATTTGAAGAAATTAATATGATTAATGCCATCTCTAGCATTACAAGACAGGGGAATCACCATCAATAATAAAGCCGGAAAAAGAAACTGATAGGAAAACAATAAGAGAATTCTCACTGAACATGCAAAAAATAATCTTGCAGCTCATTTGATTAAGTAATCTGATCATGTAAAAGGAGTACTTACAGAAATATGTGGCATATCTCTTTTTACCAATGTAATAACACGTTTAATAAGAAACTTTCCTAGGTTGATTCCTTCCAAGCCAGGCTGGGAAAAGTCAAAAGTAGGCAGTCAGGTTTACGGAAACAGAAAAAAAAATTTTTGCTAGAAACAGACCGTTAGTGCTAGTAACTACACTATATTTGCATGAACCATATAACCAGCTGCCATGATATATTTCTTTATGTTTCTACAGTTCATATCTTTTACAGGGGGGAAGAACATTCATACCTGAGTTCATGATATGGAGTAAAATAATGCGCATATTGCCTCACTTTCAGGAATTGGAGGATGATCCCACAAAACTTCCTATCATTCACAAGAACATTAAGACCAAGAAGACGAAGAAAGAAGTGTGGTAGTGTTAACGAAAATTTACCTGTATTGTATGCGCTACATTATTCAAAAGCACAACTTCAATAAAAATAAGAGGTTTACCTGAAATACAAATCACTTAGATAGATAGAGAAAGAGCGCAAGAGAGAGGCTGAAAAGAAGAGTTGGGATTGCAGGCAACTCAATATATAACCTCCCTTCCACCTTAAAAAGTGAAAGGAACTGCTTACCAGGTATGGATGAATGAAAATATCCAAAACAACGATGACCAACTCCCAGCCTTCTCTTAAGATCAAAAAGATTACTGATTGGATGCACTGCCTGGACAAAATATGATTAACAGATAATACACAGGCCACACCATGCAAAATCTATGGTATGAGCAAGCAACAGCAAGAAGAGAAACAAACCTCATAAGCCACAATTTTCTCCAGCAAAGAGGCAGGATCATCCCATGTAATCTGATGGAGCTCTAAAGCAGCAGGACTAAGCCAAGAACTAAGCTTCTCCTTCAGATATGAAACTAATGCTCGCAATGAGGCAATATTTTCTTCTCTAAAATTTATAAAAATTTCAGTTCCTTTAATACATTTGTATTAATCATGTTTCAATTCTTTAATATATATATATATATATATATAGATATAGATATAGATATAGACACACACACACACACACACAGATATATAACTAAGTTTTAAAACTGCAACAAGCCAATAACAACAAGCAATAACATCTAAATAACATTTTTAACAATTCAGCTCTTGTACTTTTTCAACCCTAGGGGATTCCATTGCCAAAAACCATTTCCTGCTCATAATATAGGATTCTGTAAATAGACAACCATAAATTATTCAAGATAGCAACTGCTGCACTTGAAAAAAGGTACTCATATGGTTGACCTAAACCTCCTACCATAGCCAAAGATATAAAAAGGTTAAAGAAAGAAAACTACATTAGTGCTTCCTTTTATGGCAAGCACTGTGAGGCTCCATCTTATAAGAGCTAATGCTTAAACTCTTCTCACAGAAGAACAAGATCAATGCATGAATCATTGACTATAATGCAAGATGTCCCAAGCCCTTAGCAACTTTCGTGAACTGTAGTATGTGATCTTTTTTTGATAACTTTGTATAAGAAATTAAAAGTGAAAAACCTCATAAAGTTAGGATATTCTCTACATACTTTTCAACTAATGTGTTTCAACTTTTAGTTAAAGGGTCTATGCCTCCAGGATAATTTAAAGGTAATAATATGATGATCAAATCAAGATAAATTAGGTTGAATCTTGTAAAAAGGACTATAACCTTACGTGAGAATGGATAAAATATCAGCCCTAAGGATAGTCAAAAACTTCAGCCCTCCAGGATGGTTGTTGAGTCGGTCAAAGAGAATTTCATACACTGGCTTCAGGGAATGTCTCAAATTTCTCTCTATGCGATAGAAAGTTGAAAGAAAGCCTTCATCTTCAACTACTCCTGATTGAGTTTCATTCCCTGAAACAAGAAACCTCTACACCATTCAACCCTGATAAACATGAAAACGAGAATTCAGAAAATATTTAGGTGAAATACCAACAGTAAACTCACCACTGGGTAGCTGAAGTCCAATATATTGCTGTATGAGTTCACGAACTTGTGTCCTGTTTAGATCATACTCCTTGGCAAGTGTCAGCAATAATTTCCTGCGGTTCTCAAAAGAAAGGCTAAAATAACCCTGCGTTATATCACAACATTGTTAATCACCGACATAAGCACGAGAACTTAAGATAATCACTAATTGCTTGTTTTCTATACTCCACCTCCAAAAAATCATTAAGTACAGAATCTAGAACTTCAGTTTTGTTCATTGATATAGCTGAGTGCATTGATTCTCGTACAACCTCGAACGACCTAATTAACAACACAAAATCCAAATCTAAACTTCACAAATTGCATTTAAGATTGTATAAGATGAACTCTTTAATAACAAAGAAAAGACCTTTGCTTATTGAGCTTTCCATTTCCATCTTCAGGGGCATGGCGTGCCAAGTTTCCACTAGATTGGTTTCCTTGAGAATTTGACAGCAATTGATTAACCTCATCCTGGTTTAGAAATTATTTCAAACTAAATCAGCAAATTCTCCTCCAGTGTTCACAACAAATTTTGCTAATCACAAATTTATTAAACTGGAAACTAATACAATGTTAAGTGATTCATCAAACAGATTCAACCAAACAAGAAAAGCCATAAAAAACTTAGAGATAAAGGAGAAAGGGCGAGCTTGGTAGGATCGTTAGGTCTCATTCTGGCTCGCATCAAAATGGCCAAGGCTTTCTTGTTCATTGCTATTATATACAATTAATATCCCGACAATAACCAAGCATAAGCGTTTACTTTCCGCTGTGTCTGTCCAAACATCGTTTTCCTCGAACCGATGAGTCTGCTCGGCCAGAAACACAGAGAAAGTGAAGGCAGACGTATATGCTAAGGCATATTTTTCACTTTTGGCTTTTGAACGTCTAGAAACGACAGCGTATAATCATATCTTTAGACCCGAAAAAGAAAGAGATGAAAAAACAAATTACCCCACCCCTTCTCATGGATACAATAAACCATGGAAAAACAACAAAGTTTGAAGTACAACATACAGAACTCCAGAGACCATTTTCACATGAATTGTTACATGTGCTTGAACAGTTCACCTGACGACACATTAATATTGCGTCGGGAATAAAGTATAAGTTTGGGGGCACATGGGCATCAGGTTGTGGATTGTAGATCTGGACCCCCATATCATTGATGGGCTAGGTCCTCTATCTGAGACTGGAGTTGGGGGGCTTAGCCTTAAGCTTCCATGTCTGTCTCATCAATCAGCTTTGGGCCACATTGTTTTAAATGGGGCTTTAAATCCTTTGCCGCTTTTATCAACCACAAAATAAGAAAAACCAGTTCTTTTGCTTAAATCCAAAATTCTATATTCCAATGCCAGCTTTTCTCAACCTCAGAATAATATGGCCCTCATGTGGTCTACTGTTAATCCCTTGTCAATCTTCCTTATAATTCAAGAAAATGACAAAAACACAAAAGAGCAGTTATTTCACAGCTGGTTGGATTCTTTGCTTCCTTCAGTGTACTTTTCGTATCTCATCATTACAATTCCTTTTTTACCCTTGCATCAAAATTTCTAAAACAAATTGCTTTCGAAAGGAAAAAACCCCTTTTGGTTTTTACCTTTTGTCTTCCAAATTACATTCAAATTGGAACGTGAAGGTTATCTTTTTTTTTTGTAGTTCACTTTCAGCCTGTCTTATGCGAAAATTAGAGTGCAAGAATTCCATTTTCTTTTAAGTAACTTCATCTAACAAAAATAAGATTCTTAAGCTCCTTACGCATGCATGTTTGCTTGTCGCTCTTGCTATCATTTAACGTTGCATCATTATATAAAAACGAAAAAACCTTCTCCTAATTACTAAATCAAGCAATAATTAATCATAAAGCAATTTGATGATTACTTTTTATGTATATTTTGAATTGAAAACAATACTTTGAAAAACATCGTTCAACAAATGACTCACATCCAACTTAAACCACATTTGTTTTTTTCCCATGGGACCGATTCATTAGTCGGTTGCCAATAAGCAACAGAAATAAACAATTTGATGAGATGTAAGACCAGCAATTATATGGAGACAGGGTCCCTCTTTCCTGCCAGCCTATTTACCACTGCCCCTTGCTGTATATATCATATCCCACCGGCTTTCTTGACCAATCTACTCCATCCTTTATCTCTCCTTGGTTTTTGTTTGAACTTTGTATCCTTTTTTTGGCATTTTGACTGACTATAGTGATTTTTTTTACATGAACCATGCATCGTTTTTTTTTTTTTTTTTGCTTCAAATATGGAATATTAATAGTGCATGCAACCATTTTTTATAATCTTATAAATGACTAATGAAGGAAACAAAAAATCTGATGAGGTTTCTACTAATAAAAATGTTGAAATCACGTTAGAATATCGAATAGCATATATAGTACAAATGGATCCAAGCAAAAGCAATGCGTTTCTTGGTTACATCTAATATAATATGGATACAATCCACTTTCCTTTTTCTGCCAGTGCAGGAACCTTTCATCAGAAAATTGTTTATATAATCAGGTTGATTAATTGTGGATCTTGTGAGTGAATAGAGGAACAAATGGGCATGGTCATTAACTGAGATTGCTCCTTATTTTATATGGTTGACGGAATCTAAGACAGATCAAAGGCAAGCATGTTGCTTTCTCAACTGTCATGCAACCAAAGGGAATATAAAATTAGAAGCCGTCACAAGTCATCTTGCTTCTTTAAGAATTAAGACCTTTGTAATTTGTAATGGATGAAAATAAAATAAAAAAAAGGACTTCATACTGTTTAAATTATTAAAACTAGCTAGCATATTCCTACTGTCCTTGTCTAAACTCTAGAATCTAGATTCATTCAATTTAAGCACTTTAAAACTTGCCATCTTAACTAACACTCTTTTAATATTGTCTATCATGTGAAGATAAAATGGTACTATTATAAAGCATTAATGGGTTCTTTTAGTGTTTTTTTTTTTTTTTTGCCATAATGGGTTCTTTTAGTTTAATAGTATAGTGTCTATTTGCTTTGTTTTTTCTTAAAATTTTGCAACTTTTGTTAGGTGAATGATTATTTCATTTTTTTGTTTTGTTTTGCACTTAATGATAGTTTTCTAGTGAGAAGTATTATCAAAAGCAAAAACTAGTTAGCTGGATGTTGCTTTTGGATCATCATTCATCACCCTCTAAAAAGTGATTCAAAAGCTTCCAAAGTCAAAAACGAGGAAAGTTTTGTTTTCCCACGAGTTCACAACTGGACATTTTAGTCATTTTCAGAAATTCCTCTAAAACGTAAAGTCGCAATCTGCTGGCCAGGCTCAGTCGGAGTCTCTTTTATGGTCCTTAACTTGTCCTGGCGTTCCCATTCCGGGCTCCTGCTTCCTGCACGAAAAGTGGAACATCACTGTTCGCATTGGTATCACAGCAATAACAATTCACTTTTAAGCTCGATCATGACATTTTTTTACCTTTCTTCGATTTTCCTATCCTGCTTCCCGGATTCTTCTCATTCTACAGTGACCTGCCATGGAAAAAAGAAGGTCAAAAGTAGAGCTTATGACATTTGTGGTAAGTTTCACATTTATTTTACGAGTAAACATTTCATTGTTGATGAAGTAAAATCAATACAGCACAACAATTTTGTCGGTTCATTCTTACCGTGTTAAAAGCTTGAACATTTCCTTGTTACAGTCATGGCTTGAAACGTGGAAAAAGCATTTAGTTAAAATTAAAGGTCAAGACATCCGGAAAGGGTACAAAAGCAGAGGACCAAAACTCGAAACTGACAGTGAGAGGAACCTGAGATGTGAGAAGTGTTGTCGTACCTTGCTTGCCGACTCCGAACCAAACTATGTTTATTAATTTAGTACTATTGGATTTCTCAAAATTTTACTGCCAAACTCTTTTTCCTTTTTCGCCGACACACATAAGGCTCTTCACAAATACTATAATAGAACACACCCTCTCTTCATTGCTCCTCTCAAGCTTCGAATCTCTCTCTTTCCTCTTCTTTAATGGCGATTTCTCCAACTACTGACCCTCCCAACAACTACTGCTACTTCCGTTTGTCCTCCACTTACTCCTACTTCTTCTTCAGCTGTGCTTGCGCGTCCATGGTTCTCTTTCATGTGCTTCATCTCACCTGATCCTCTCATCTGAACAGCTGCCAAAATCAACTACTACAAGACAAAAGAAAAAAACCAAAAAAGAAGAAGAAAAAGAGGCCAGCAGCAATGAGTTATTATAGTAACAGAGCTTTCTCTCTTTCTATGACTCGTTTGCTACTCACTGAGTTAGTCTTACTTGGTGTGATCTTTGCTTTCACTCCAGCTCAATGCATCACCGATTCTTCCGATGGTATTTTTGTTTTTCCTTTTGAAAATATTTTGTTTTTTTTAGGCATTGGCTTCATTGATTTGGTTTTATGATTCGGTGAAGTCTAAATTTTTTACTTTTTAAGTTTTGATGTGAATGTGATTATTCAAGAAATGATCTTTGACTATTCTGCGTTATATTTTGTTTGGAAAGTTTGATCCTTTATCCTGTCTTTGTTTCGTCAAAAAAATGCGGGAAAAATTACAGAAAAAAATCCCATATTTGCTTTGATTGTTTTTCCTTTTGAAATTTTTTTTTTTTTTTGGGCATTGGCCTCATTGACTTGGTTGTATGATATGGTGAAGTCTAAATTTTTTACTTTTTAAGTTTAGATGTGAATGTGATTAGTCAAGAAATGATCTTTGACTATTCTGCATTATCTTTTTGTTTGAAAAGCTTGATCTTTTATGATGTGTTTGTTTCCCCAGAAAAATGCGGGAAAAATTAGAGAAAAAAATACTCCATATTTGCTTTGATTCCTTATGTTGCCAATTTTGTGGGAAAATGTGATACTCTGTAATATTAATTGGGAAATTTTCTCCAATTTCTGGATTTTCTTTATATTTGGTGACATTTTTATCAATGCATAAATAAATGGAATGTTTAATTCAATCTAATCTGTATTTGATTTATTAATTTTTGGAACCTGGGTATGTCTTATTAAGTTGTTTTATTTACTTATTTGTGAGCAGCTCAAGCTCTTCAGGTTATTTACACTTCATTGAACACTCCTACAAAGTTAACAAATTGGAAAACTGATGGTGGTGATCCATGTGGAGATTCATGGGAAGGGGTTACCTGTGAAGGCTCGGCCGTCGTTTCAATGTATGAGAGTGTATATTTCAATGTAGCTATTTGTTTATGGAATTTGTAGTTTGATCAGTTTTTTTTTTTTTTTAAATGGGCGGCTTTTCTTGTTATAACAGTGATATTTCTGGGTTAGGACTTTCTGGAACCATGGGATACTTGCTCTCTGATCTTATGTCATTGAGAACACTGTAAGATTATGTCCTTGCTATGATGTCTGTGTATGTCATTGAGATTGTAACTCTTTATTAACCAGCTAATTAGTTAATTGCCTTTTTCGTTGTATTGTGTTAGTGATTTGAGTAACAACAACATTCATGACACAATCCCATACCAGTTGCCACCAAATCTTACGAGCCTGTAATATCTCTGATTCATTATTGTTTCTATTGTTTCAAGGGTTCTATTTTTACTGCTTGATATTAAAATTATTATTATATAATGCAGAAATCTTGCGGGTAACAACATCAGCGGGAATCTTCCTTATTCCATTTCTAGTATGGTTACTCTTACTTACCTGTAAGTTATGTATCTCAAATGCTATGATATTTTTATTTACTTATCACACAATTGAGTAGCAAATCGAACTTCCTATCATTTCCTAATTCTAAATCTTTTGTATAGGAATGTAAGCCATAATTCACTTTCCCTATCTGTTGGAGACATTTTTGCTAATCTTGCTGACCTTGGGACCTTGTAAGAGAACATAACCTTTATATTTATATATTGTCATCTATTAGTTTTGATCTATGTAGAATTTGTGAGATCTAATTTATTATTCTTTGTTGCTTTATTATTCTGCTTTTTGCAACATAAAACATTTTAAAGGTGTTGCATGTGTTGATTTAAAGCTTCAACAGGAAAATTACAAATGGATTTGGTTCAACTTAAGGTTGTTTGGTCTTCCTATATTTATAATTGTGCGCATTAAATTGAGAGATATTTTGCTGCAACTGTATCATTTTTGGATTGAATTCAGGGATAGAGGGAAGTTTTGAATACCTTGATAACATTTTACCATATTCTGATAGGTACCTGTAGTCTGTTTTCTTACTAAATATTTTTCTAACCACATTATGATTTGGGTTCCTTACTTGTTAATGCAGGGATCTTTCCTTCAACAATTTTAGTGGGGATCTTCCTAGTTCATTTAGCTCATTGAGCAATCTTTCTATGCTGTAAGTGTTGCTTCATTCTCTAAATGTAAAAACCAAAATGAAAACGTGTTTCAGATATTTGCGGACCTTGACCAAGTGCTATTGTATCTGAATTTGTCACAGGTATATGCAGAACAATCAATTGACTGGTTCTTTTGATGTCCTTTCGGGTTTACCTTTGACAACTCTGTAAGTTACTTTTCTCATACTGCTGTTTGGTTTCTACTCTCTGTCAGTCTGTTTTTATGCACCCTAGATTCTGTACAGAAATGTTGCAAAGAACAATTTCAGTGGGTGGATTCCTCGAGAGCTTTTCTCAGTCCCAACTTTTATGTAAGGCTTGATGTAGCATTGCTGCCAATTTACTTCTCCGTATATAGATTGTGCAAAATGTTTACTTTGCTATAAAAAAATGAAACAGATATGATGGCAATTCCTTTGCCAATGGGCTTGCCCCTCCTCCACCACCATATAGTCCACCTCCGCCTGGTAGATCTCATAATAAAAATAATTCTGGATCAGGAGCTCGTACATCCCCTGCTTCTGATGGTCAATCATCAGATTCAGATAAGGGACCATCAGCTGTACTTATTGTGGGCATAGTTCTTGGCTCTTTGTTACTGGTTGTCCTGGCATTAGTTGCTCTTGTTTTCTGCATCCGTAAAAATAAAAGAAAGGTGAGTGGTACAAGAGCTGTGAGGGAAAGTCTTTCGGTTGGCTCCAATGATGGTAGGTTTTCTTGTTCATATTCTTTTCTCCCATCAGTTCTTTTACTTTGACAATTGTTTTTTTCTTAATTTTTTTTTTTTTTTGTGGTTACATCTTTGGATTGCATAAATCCTCGTTGAAAATGTGAATTTAAGTGGAGCTACACTAATTAGGAAGTAAACTATTTCTCATGAAAAATTGAAAATCTTTTAGACTTGAGTAACAATAGGCATCTATTATGATGCCCATGTCTTAGTTATTTCTATAATTTTGTGTTGTTTAATTAGTGGATCAATACATCTTGAAAATTCTTTGACCGCATTCAAGTCTATTGGTGAAATCAAATGTTGCTTTGGTTACTTTGAACAGAACCACTTCAATAAAGCAATCAATTTTAAAGAAATTTGTTGGCAGTGTTGTTTCTCCCCTGCATACAATGTCTTTCAAATTCACTAGTAATTGGTGCTGAAAACTCTCTAACATCCTTACAATGCTGGACCTGTATTCTGCTTCAATATTGCAGGACATACTGAGATGCAAGAGCAGAGGGTAAAAAGTGTCGCTGCTGTTATAGATTTGAAACCCCACCAGCAGAAAAATTGACGGTTGAAAGGATGTCCAAAAATGGATCTCTAAACAGAATGAAGTCACCCATCACTGCTACATCATATACTGTCGCTTCTTTACAAACAGCAACAAATAGTTTTAGTCAAGAATATCTTATCGGTGAAGGTTCCCTGGGTCGTGTTTACAAGGCAGAGTTTCCAAATGGAAAGGTAACTTTAATAAACATTTAATACTGAAGTGCTTCCAATAAAACTAATGCTGGATAATTTGTGAATAATAATGCAAGATTTTCCACAATGATAACTAATTATTTTTATCTTTTTTGATCTAGACAATGGCTATTAAAAAAATCGACAATGCTGCACTATCATTACAAGAGGAAGACAATTTTCTGGAAGCTGTCTCCAATATGTCTCGCTTGAGGCATCCAAATATTGTTACATTGGCTGGATACTGTGCAGAATATGGACAGCGTCTTCTTGTATATGAATATATAGGAAATGGTAGTCTTCATGATATGCTGCACTTTTCTGATGATTGCAGCAAGACATTAAGTTGGAATGCACGTGTCAGAGTGGCGCTTGGAACTGCCCGGGCTTTAGAGTATGTTATATGCGTATGATATTTTTCAGTCTCCCCTCTCGTCAATGGTGTACATGTATGTTGCTCAGTGTTTGGCTGCTTGCATGCATATGTTCCTTTCTGATGAAGCTGTTGTTTCAGGTACTTGCATGAAGTGTGCTTGCCTTCAGTTGTACATAGAAACTTCAAGTCAGCAAACATCTTACTTGATGAAGAACTCAATCCACACTTGTCAGACTGTGGTTTAGCTGCTCTTACACGAAATACTGAGCGACAGGTAAAATTTGCTTTGGACAACGTGTCATTGGTGAACAAGGTTTCAGTCCACTGCTGTCTGTGAAAGGAAGCTTTAGCTAGCTCTTTATTTTTTCTGTTTGCTTCCATATTTGGCAGGTTTCAACACAGATGGTTGGTTCATTTGGTTATAGTGCTCCTGAGTTTGCATTGTCAGGTGTGTATACTGTAAAGAGTGATGTGTACAGTTTTGGGGTGGTGATGTTGGAGCTGCTGACTGGCCGGAAACCACTGGATAGGTAAAACCCGTTTTCCGTTATCTTTATATCTTAGCGTTGTTACAATACTTTGTATATCTGTCCAAGTAAATTTTTGTTTTGGTGTATTCTGCATTGTTTAGTTCTAGGGTGAGATCAGAGCAATCACTTGTCAGATGGGCTACTCCCCAACTCCATGATATAGATGCCCTTGCAAAAATGGTTGATCCTGCCCTCAATGGCATGTATCCTGCAAAATCTTTGTCACGCTTCGCTGACATCATTGCTCTCTGTGTTCAGGTAAAGGAATTTAGTAATGATTGGGACAAGTTGGATTAAGTTAACGGGTTCAAAATTTAGTAAGAAGGGTTAAAGAAAAGAAGAATAGAACAAGAAGAGTAGGAGCACTATGACCTTTAGTTTTGTAGGTCTTCTTATCATCTGATTATAAGTTTTTTTTTTTTCTTTTTCATTTCTATGCAGCCGGAACCTGAGTTTCGGCCCCCATGTCTGAGGTTGTGCAAGCTTTAGTGAGGTTAGTGCAAAGGGCAAGTGTGGTAAAAAGGCGACCTAGTGACGAATCAGGATTTGCATACAAGACTCCAGATCATGAAGCAATAGACATGTCATTTTAAGTGTCTGGTTGAAACTTGAAGCTTGAACTGATTCCTTGCAATCATGTCTGCAACATGCTAAGTTCTAGGATGACTAAAAGAGCAAACCAATTTAAGTGGAAAAGATCTACAAGAGAATCAAAATCGATAATGGAAAATGAAATAAAAAAAAGTTGTGTAATTATATCTTATACATAATCACTTTGAGTTTATAGTTTATAGTTTACAGTGCAAATATAAAGGTGTATTGTTGGGGATAATGATGGACATTCACGTTTTGCATCTTAATAATAAAAGATTTTCTTTAATTCAAGGCAAGTACATAACATTCCTTTGTTTCGTTGTCATGATTTTCACGAGTTGTCCCTTTATCTTTGTCTCCATTGGTCATGCTTTTCTGCTAGAAATTGCCAAACACAAATTGTGTTAATGGAATGTGGACCTCCCACATTTCCATCACGTGTGTGAACTTTCAGGGGGTTGTTGTGATTGGGAAAGAAAATTGTGACAATGTCGGTTGCTCAAAAGATTCAAAAACAGGTTATGCCACGTGCATCGTTTTTGTTATGTATCGTGGGAGTCAGATCAGTGTGTTTTGCTCTTTTTTTTTTTTTTTGGCACACGAGTCTTCTCTAGGTGGATTTATTTGGGCTTTTGAAAAAGGTGCGTTGATAATCAATCTAAAGGCAGCCTATTATCCATGAAAGTATGATTTTGGACCAGGCCTTATTTTGTAATGCGATATGATGATATTAAATTGAAAATTTTTTGGAGAAAAAATGAACTAGTAATTTTTTTTTTTTTTTTTATGAAAAGCTGAATAAAATTTTAATTAAATGGATAATTGCATTTCTTCTTCGATGATAAAGAAAGGGACATTCTGGCGTCTGTCTGAAATAAACAACCTAGGCAAAAAGGCAAATTTGTCAACTCTCACATTGGATCAAGACCTTAAACCCATCAATTAATGTCTGTTTATGTTTCAAGTACCAATGCAAACAATTTTCACATTGACTCCAGAATCGATGTAAAATCTGTATGGAGAAATATAAAAAGAGTAAAACTTTAGTTCATAAACAAGATAGCAACACTGACTTCGCCGTACGAGTTCCGCTTAAACAATTGAAACTGGTCTAATTGATAATGGTATGCTCACGATGTGATTTAAACTTCCTCTTAAAATAATTTCACCGAAGCTGAACTCGTTGGTTGACCGAGTCACATTAATTTCTATGTCCAAGTCTTGGGTTCCGTCTGGGGCTATAGTGAACCAAGGTGGATGCAAGTTAATTGTTGTCCCATTTGGGGGTATCGCTAAGCTTTTATATGTCTCCGGTTTGGCCGCTACATTCTTGAAACTCCGCCTCACTGTCAGGGATCTTCTTAGTGCAGATATGGTCACCGACGGGATGTTCAGGTTAGCGGGGTGGCCAAGCGACTTGCTGCACCACACTCCAGTTGCAGCTCTGATTGCAAACCGATCAATGTTGGGCATTGAGCACAAAAAACTGATATAATCTTCAAATTCTGCTTCATGATAACAGGTATAAAGAGCTAAGTTACATATCTAACATTAAGAAAAATTCTCACTTTTTAATGGATAGTAACTCTGACAGGTCAAGCTTGATAACAGAATTTGGAAGTGGAAGAGAGGTTAATGGGATAGAGAAAGGGTTTACCTGATGATAAGACTAAGCCTGGATCCATGGCATGACTTGGATTAACAAAGCCAGCGCCAAGATCAAAGTAAGTAGAGGGATACAAGCTTCCAACATCAAATCCTTCAGCCATTATACGCCCTCCATTTTTATCAAACTTGGTGGCTGTGGTAGAGATTGCCGATGCTATCATTGATGGAGTCCATGAAGGATACTTTTGCTTAATTAGAGCTGCTATCCCTGCAACATGAGGTGCAGCCATGCTGGTACCAGAGAGCAGAGCAAAATTGTATCCTGTAAAGTAGTTCAAGTCTAATCAACTCTTGTTTTCTAAGCAATCAGAACTATATACTATTAATTGGTAAGAAGCTTGATGATGTTGTTTAATTACCACTTAGAATGGGATCCAGGGCACTCATGGGGCTCCAAGCTGCCCAAATTTCTTGTCCTGGGGCAAGAATATCAGGTTTTAGTACATCAGCAGGGTTCCTGTTAATGTCAATAAAATCTGGTCCCCTTGAAGAGAATCTGCTAACCATGGGTGCTTGCGCATCAAAAGAAGCAACTCTACCATCTGCTATAGCAGCTCTTGCATTGAACTGTCTCACAAAGCCTCCTGCATCCCTATATGTTTGTTGTTCATAATATTGAGATATAATCTACAAACATAAGATGATTGTCTCATAAGATTATGCAAGAACTGGTTAAGAACAATAGAACATTCTTTATTGTGGAATTAATGATAATTGTTACCTTTGCATCTGCTACTTTGGGGATCAGAGTGCCAGAGACCGAAGAGGGAATTGGTTGGGCAATAAAATCACCGTAACTTGGATTTGCAACAAGAACAAAACCCATGAATCCAAGAGTTCTTGCTGTTTCAATGATGGCTGTTAGTGTGGATGTCTCGTTATAGAAGCCAGCTGAGAAAGTGCATATAACAATACTGCCCCTCACTGCATTAGGGTCCAAAACTTCTGGACATTGGCACTCCTCAACATACTGTGGAGTCCTTGGGAATGTCCCATTTAAATTGACTGCATCCTTAGCCAGAACTAGCTTATAGAGTAATGATCCATTTCCCAAAGTTGGAGCTAGGAAAGAGAACATATTACCAATTTAAAATTTTTGATTAATCAGTAATCACTGCTGGTAAAAGAAAAAAGGGAAAAGAAAGGATGAAAAAGAAAAGAGGAACAATGTAGTTGGGTGAGTAGTAAAAAAGTCACCCTTAACTTGACACTATATATTACCTGACAACCCAACACCTGAAACATTTTGACCATTTCCAAGGAGAAGAGAACCAGTGTATCTTCTGTTTGTTCTGGAAGCCGCTGCACCAACAGTCCAAGGGCTGTAAGACAAAATTGTTGAAGGACCGGGACCCTCATTTCCCGCAGCCTGCACCACGAATATCCCAGCTCTTTGTGCAAATAACATGCTTATGTCTAAAATGCTCAAGAATGCGACTGTATCTTGTGGTGGTTCATCCGGTCCAATTGACAGTGTTAAGATATCCACTCCATCTACTATCGCCTGTGCCGTCACAAGAAAATACATAAACGTTTATTACCAACAAATTATTAGTTAATCTAATTTTTGCAATCTTTTCAGAATAATCAATCAATTTAATCTTTCTTTATTCAAGCTGCTTCTCCATTGTTCCAGGGTGGATAACTGGATATCTATTTATAACATTGTTTATGGAAACACATGAAAAATTAAGGTGTAGTAGATGATTGCATGAAAGCGTGCCTCGTGTTTTTTATTTTCTCAACATGGATAGTTCATGACAACGGCATATAATATATTGGTTGTTTTTACTAGAACTAATGTGGATTTCAGTGCCTACTTGATCAATTGCTGCAACCACATCCGCAAGCGTTCCCACTGTTGGATAGACAGCCTTATAAACAGCAATTCTATTTGCCAAAAAAAAAATGTCAATAGTCGATATCATTGCTAGAATCATATGATAAAAAGGTAATTAATTAGTAGAATTATCTCATAACACAATTTCCATAACAAGGAATTGAATAATTACATACCTTGCACGCGGTGCCATCCCACTGGCTCGCCCATAATAGAAGCCGTTCACAACCACAGGGACCCCAGCATTTCCAGCGGCAGTTGATGCCACGTGACTGAAGCAAAGCACATTTTTCCTCCAGCGTTACAAACCAATAAAGACAAAGTGAATATGTAACAATGTACCAAAAAAAAGCCTTGTTTCATATATTACCTTCCATGACCAACGGCATCCATTGGTGATGGAATATCTACTGTAGCATTCAGAAAAGCAGCTTTTTGAGCCCCATCTATGAAGAACCTGGCAGAAACTATCTTTCCATTGCAAGCAAATGGTGGGAATTGAGGACCCGTCTCACATGCACCAGAAAAATGCGAAACATTGGACGTGTAAGGATTGACCGAGTCATAAGAAAAGCTTGGGTGTAATGGATTAATGCCTGTGTCAATGAAACCAATAACAATCCCTTCTCCAGCATTTCTATCTCCTCCATCTTGTTTCCACGCTCCTTCAGGTAACCCTAAGAACTCAGGACTGTAGGTAGTCATCAATTTGGTTCTTCTATCTCTCTCAACCAACTTTACTCCCGGAGCATGTTTTAGTTTCTTAGCCTGAAATTTTCATAACAATTTCTGACTGAGACAATTTCTTGTTTTCCTTGTTTATCAGAAAGTTTAAGTGGAATTAAGAGAAAAACAAGGCCTCAAAAAGTACAAAAGAAACTACCTGAGAAGGTGAAGTGTGGACAGCAAAGCCATTAAGAACGTGTTTGAAGCTGTATAGCTTGTTATAGCTTCCAGTTTCTAGAGTGCTTTGGAGAACTTGATTATGAGAATCTTCCAACTTCTTTGCATGAACCTTGGAAACTTCACTAATTATTCATACCGAAAACGAACACTGTTAATAGCTAACGAGATAATGTGCTGATATAATAAGATTTACAGACAAAACTATTCAATTTCCCTTTTGATACGTTAAAGATGAAGATGCAATGCGAATAACCACTCGTCTACTTGGAAATTTAATTAATTTTTGCTTCTCTAAATCTAAAGACTAAAATATATACTGTTCCAAGGAAAAGGAAAAGAAAAGAAGGTGATGATGATTATAACAGCTATGAATATATTCATCTTTATAACCTCGTCGGGTCAAATCTTCTTCCACGTTGGCGCGGTAGAATATCACCTTGAAATGCTACTGCTTTTCCTTCCATTAAAACTAAATATATTGATCTCTCTTCTGCAAAAGATGCCATAAAACTCATAGCGAGAAGAACTGCATATCTCGATGCAGCCAATGCATCAACCCCATTTGCCATGTTTACAATGAAAGGAAATGTGACTTTTTTTGGAGTTTATAAAAGGCGACAGAAGTTTTTAACTCATCATAAATTAAGTGCAAAACAAATGCTTATCATCCACACTGTTAACGTGAGTAAAGCTGTTTTTATGAGATATTCAGGGGAAAGGGCAGACCCACTCAGGATTACTAGCGGTTACCTTTTCTGCTTAGATTTAATTAAATCTGGTTGCAATCAGAAGAATTTGTAAAGATTAAATATGGGTTGTGCATGTTTTGCCTATGCCATTTCACACCAACCCATCAAGAAAAGCGCAATGCTTTAGAGAAATAACCGAAACTATTGACAATGTTTCATGATTACAGAGTCACTCAAACCTTGCTACACCTTGTCTTGATCATTATCTGATAAACTCCGGAAAATGCTTTTCTCGAGTTCTTAACAGTAATTTTTTGCAACGCTTCTTAAGTAGAAGATACTTGGCAGGCTTATGGTGAGAATGGAAATGCATAATCAAGAAGTCAATAAGATGTGTTATTGAACAAATGGCAAGATTGGAAAGGTGATAATTGAAAGTTTTTCTACCACAAATATGGGTACAACATCAGAGAACTACAGATCAATCCTCTTGCTCAGACTTAATCTCCTAAACCTAACACAGATACAGATGTCTCCAAGTCTAACACACGAGTTACTGACAGCACCGGTTTGGGCAAAGCACACAACCTCTGCACTATACAACTCACACAAGAAGCTAAATATGCATAAAGAGTCTTCTCCTCTCATGCAACAAAATTTACCCATGGTTTACTTATCTCTTCCGTCGTTTAGGCTCCACCTGGAAAAGAATGCAAAAGTGAGAAGTAGAGGCAGAACCTCAAAACACAATATAATTGTTTGCTAAGCAAAGAATTCAGATAAATGGACTTTTCTCTATATGCAGTGATATTTTTACATCTAAAGATTCCCTCTAAACCTCATCTCTACCATGGGATGACTGCCTACACTTCTCTATGATGTTCTACAAGCCCAATCAGCACTAACTAAAATAAAGCATGGGCAAAATCACAAACCACCAGCTAATGCAGTAGGTAAAATGTTTGGGCACATGTAGGTAACAACAATCACAGTCTTGGCCAGCAAAAGGCAATGCTAATCTTAAAATGTAGTGAAATGAAAATAATAACAATACACTGTGCTGGATAAAGACACAAAACCTAAAAAAAATTCAGGCACATTTGTAGGTATGATTCAATAATATATCAATAGATATTGTAGGCAGTCAAACCAGATCTATATCAACAATGACCAGAAATTGATAACCAGCCAGATAGGACCTCTAACATTATATCCAAAAAGCTATGGCACTTGACAGAAATATAAGAACCTGCATCTAAGACTTCCCCAGTTAAAAAGCATCAATTAACGGAAAAGCATGTGCATTGATTATAATCCCCGATGTTCCCCTACTAAATGAACTTTTTTATCCATTTATAATCAGTAGTACTAACATAGATAACCAACACTAACTTGAGGATTTCTCGTGAGTTTAGTCCACATATGCCATTATTTTTAGTTAAAGCATTTTCCAATTCATTGGCTTTATTTTATGAACAGCCCTGTAGCCCAGAATATAACTTGGAAGCACACAAGGATAATGGCACCTAAAGTAGAACTTGCAAGCTACTAAAGAATACAATATGCTCAGTGAAACAAACATGCACATAGAGTCAGACTTAAACCAAAGTAAAATTTTCAACTATAGTCACACATTCTAAAAGAAATCAAGGACTCTTATCACTGTTCAAAACAATTTCTATGACTCAGCAACCAGTATTTGTTAATTGTTATTGGAACAACAATATGTCAATACCCTTTTCGTGTTGCATGCGATTTGATGCATGATTTGCACAAGAAGAATTCCTGTTAATTTCCCCTTACATTCTAAACTTCCTCGGAGGACACCAAAAAGAGATCCGGCAAATTGTGTATCAGAGGATTAGCAAAAACTAAATGGGTTAAAGAATAAAGTGAAAAACAACGGGCCTTGAATCATAAGAAATTGGTCAAAAAATGTCTTACCTTTGCATCAGATACTGGTGATGCATGAAATCCATTCTGTAATCTTTTGACACCATCCTCAGAACATTCAGAACACAGAAAGTGAACCAACTTTTTTGCTTCTTCAATTGTCATGCCCACACAAGCAGGATGATACCTAAAATAATGGTAAGGAGAACATTACAGCAATCTTAAAAATTATTGGGGTGTTGGCACCACGAAATCAGAAAAGTAAGAATAGAACACCGTACCAGTCCTTGCAGCCCTCACATTGCACCATGAGATCATCAGGGTTGTATGGCATCTCACATTTGCAGTACCTTCAAAACAGAAAAACCCAGGGGCACCAAAGAATCAATGCCATATTACCAACAAGTAAAAATCATATTCACAAACCAACAGATCATAGAACTTACACGGCAACTCGGTCAGGTGTAAAGGCTCCAGTAGCAGCTTTATACTCAAATCTACAATAGTAATCCTCAGCCCCAACATTCTCCAGCTTGGTGTAGTTCTTGAAAGAATGAACAATGCACTTCCCCTCAATGGTGTGAGCACTCTGCACATCATAGTGGTCAGATAAAAAGAGCTCCTTTGCTCCATGGAACTGCCTCCTTCCTCCAAGTGACTCCTCTGGACGATAATACCATCGCACTCGAACCTTCACATTATTCCTGCTATCCGCTTCAATTTTCTCAATTCGTGCCACATAGGGGGGCTTACCAGTGTCGGAAGGACGCATTAGAACACAATCCCCAACTGCAAAAACACCAAACTTTCATCTTAGCCATCACAAACTACATTTTCTTAATATCTATCTACACTTATATGCATTTGATAGATGGATTAGCAATCCCCATTTGCAAAGCCATCACCTTAACTCTGCCAATAGACTCACATTTCTCAACATGAATGCCTTCGCACCATTAAAACCATCAACAAGTAAAACCCGAAATGCCACTGCTACTCGACATATTTGAAAATTTCTTATTGATAAACACGAAATGCCAAGATTCGAAAATTCCCAGAAAACATTTCGACATCAGCAAACCAACAACTTTTTATGGCATATACGTGTTCGTAGGCGTATATAAATGTAAAACACTGTACCTCTGACAACTTTGTTGGTGCCTCTGATGGTGTAAGAGTCGAGGTCCTTCTTTCCTGGTTTGGGCCTGGCAGGAGAGAGCCCAGGTCTTGTTTTTGCCATGGAAGCTAGGGTTTTGAGCTCCGGTCAAGATCAGTGCTTTACAGGAAAATTTCAAATCTTTTAGCTCAAAATGGTGTAAATATTAAGTTTTGAAGAATTAAGAGAACGAAAGAAGAAAGAAAGACAAACCCTAAGATCCCGTCATGGGAGAGAGAGAGTAGCGACAACTCAGACAAGAAAGTACTCTCTGGACAGTGATTTCATTTTTATTTTTATTAAAAAACATCTACTAATAACAATAATGTAAATTATTTAACCCGTTCAGAGCATGCTAGATTTTCATCTCTTTCTTGTCTTTTCCGTCTGGCTAATTATATGATGCCACGTTCTCCATAGGGCCATATCCGTTTGCATTGGCCATTTCTTAACCCATTTTTCATTTTTCCCGTAATAGAAGAGTTGAGACCCACACTTGTTGGGAATTGGGATGCTCACAGTCACAGTCAGTCACATTTCACTGCTTCAGTCAATGGGCATGGAAAGAAAAAGAGGCTTAGAAATGGTGTGAGTGAGATTTTAGCATAGTTTATTTATAAGCCTAAGTGCATAATCGGCTTATATAATATAGTATTAGAAAGCAGAAAAGTTAAAAGTACAAAGTTTCGTATACCGGGTGCCATGAATGATTCTACATCAAGTTACCCCTTCAGAGTGGCTAGTGGGCTTGAACATAATGATGATTTGAACACAAGGACCAAACCCCCAGAACTATTTTTGACCTTTCATTGGCATAGGTTATGCATTGCTAGTACGATAAAGAAATCTATGTCCAAGCAATTCAGAGTCACCAGTACCATCTTTCTAGTGGAATAAAAATTCGTGTGTCAGGAATGCAATGCCGCAAATCTTTTTTTTAAGGGCAAAAAAACCTATTACTACCATAAATAGAATAAAGTAACAAACTCAGTTCTCTGGCTCACCAAATTTGAACTGCAAAAATCATAGCCGAATGTGGAATGTTGATACAAATGAAATATACATCCAGCGATGCATTTGAAAATTTTATCATGAGGCAACATGCAAATTTTTGGGATTCTCTCTCTTTTCTTTTTTTTTTTCTCAGCTGCTTTGAGCAAAATGAAAGGCATCCTTTTTCAAGAGAAAACTCAAAGAAAAACTCAAGAGAAATTCTCATTCAGCGGTTTATTGGAGTATGCATTCGCTCAACAATCCTGTTAACAGCATCACTGGACATCACTAATGTGTCTTGCAGCAATATGCTATCGACATTCAAGCCCTGCAAAAACATACACAACAAAGCCTCAGCATCAAGAACAAAAACGTACAAGCCAACTTTGGAAATAACTTATTAAAGCAATCAAAGAAGATGGTGCGGTCCCTCTGACAAACATATGAATACCAAGAGCATTGAAATAATTTTAAACCCAAATCTATGACTATCATGATGACAGTGATAATAAAAAAGTTAATAATACAGTGTTTCACCATGTCATTTATGACAAAGGCAAGCCAGTAGTTTGACTATATTTTGGTAACAAAGGAGACATTGTATTATTACTATTAATGCAACTTACAACTGATGGCAGTACATTGACATAATGTAGATTTTGTGTAGCTAGCTTCAACTTTTCATTTATGGGGCCACCATCCACCAGCAGAAGTTTCTTGGTATCCTCCATTTAATTTACTTAGTTCACAATATTTTTAGTCTTATGCATAGGGACCTCCACGAAGTGTTCCATGCCTTGCTCGACCAAGACCATTCTGTTGCCAGGTCTTCCTACCACTCCCACTAGCCTCACTAATAGTTTTTGTTGAATGTGTTCCCTGTTGATCATTCATTTGTCACCAATCTTCATCCTTAGCAGATTGATTGCATGGGTGAGAAGAACTGTTAATGCAATTTGAGTGGAACATAGGAAAGAAATTAAGAAAGTAAAAAGAAGCATGAAATGGCACCAGTTTTCGTTTTGCTAGCTGCTATCCTACAACAAAGTGGATAATATCCTTTCTAATAGGTAAATAAAAAACATCTCTTCATTATGAAAATCTGTTACAGGAATCACCAGGTCCTCATAAAGTAATGGACAATAATAATACATTAATTCAATAGAACAATGCTCCTCATCTAAGCAACAAAACACCATTGGCCTATTCCAAACTTCTGCATCTAACATTTGAGCACAAAATGTTTTAAAAAAAAAAATTCCATATACAAGAAACTTAGAATAAGAAAAATTGCAAAAGAAATATAAAAAATAAACAGTTTCCCTGAAACCGTCTGAAGCTACAATGAAACCTAACTGGTGTGGAAGCTGTCAATTCAGTTGCTAACCATATCATTACTTATCTTAAGACAAACATCAATAAATTCTTAAACTAATATACGAATCAAATGGGAGCTGAAACGAGAAGGTACCATGAGGATGGACGTGGGAGAAATCTGGCCACTGAAATGAGCCCGGAGAACGTTGGCCGTGGATCGTCCCGGTTGAGGGCGTCGGTTTTAGAAAATGGAGGCGAAGTGTGAAAACTGAAGAGAGAGTGTGGGCTTAAATGAGCTCCGAGACCTGAAATGACCGCCGTATTAAAGGTGGAACATTAAATTTTCAAAGTGTTTGGGCCAAGAAGAATTTCGTGTTAGGGCTTAAGTTGGATGCCCGATTGACATGATCTGGGCTTTTATTTGGGCTATCCAATTAATCTGGGCTTTGATTTAGGCAAAATTAGACAAACCCATTACATACAAAGGGATTTGAAATGAAATAATTTCCTTTTTTTTTCTTTTATAGGAACATTAATTTATAAATTAAACAAAGATGGCATTGGAATTTTATGATCAGGTCCTATACTTTGCTTTATGATTTTACTACTTGTTTTCACTAAAAAATTTTGATATTATTTTTTAATTCATAAAAAATAAAATGTGTCATGTGGAATTTAAAGTAGATTGGTTGAATTTCAAGAAACATAGTTATGTTTTCTCATTGTTATAGAATAAAAAATGCAGTATTAAGGCATATATTAAGGCTTTCATTACTTGGTGCCAATAATTATTTAGCTTTCTAATATTTAGTTTAGGAAGGTTTTTCTTTGCAAAATCCAAAGGAACTTTAATCATGCAGCCTTCTTCTTCTGTAGTTTTCAGTACTGCTTCAAAAAGTGCTGATGGTGTCACTTTGAACCTTCTTTTTTTTTTTCTTTTTTTGCCCTCACATTACTTTTGAGCGAATAATGTTCAATTGCTATGATGATTATTCGGTTCAAACAAAATGAAAGAAAGAAAAAGGGAATCAAGCAATTCAATCCCATTCAACCAGAATCAGCCATCAAAACCTGCTTTCTTTTTATGGTAATGGTTCATAATTGTTCAAGTTGATGGAAAATTTTTCACTTGGTACAAGTAGCTGTTGACACTTTCCATGCAGCCTAAACTAGAATTTTTGGATTACCACGGAATTGGCAAGGCCTGCCTGCTCTATGGTTTGGGTTGGATCAGTAAGAAGTTTAGGAGGGAATCCCATTATCTGCAATTGATAGTTCGCTGCACTCCCAGGTCTAGATGCATTGATGAAGGAACGGACGCTATCAACCGTATGGTGGAAATTGAAGTGGGCTATCATGCGCGTGCCATCAGCCAACCTAAGCTGAATTGAGGTTGATGGTAAACTTTCATCAACAACCACCAGGCCCGGAGAAGGGTTTGGAGCAGTGTTGAGAGGAGTAGAACTGATAGTTGTTTCAGGTGCTGCCGAAGTACTGCTGCTACCAAGAGTTCTTCCTACACCCTGAAATGCTACCTGGCGCTTCTTCTCCGGTTCCTGCAAGAAGACAAACGTAGGTGTGATATCCTCAAATGGATTTCAAGAATCAGCCAGTTGGTCTTGAATTTGTGTTAAAAGAAGACAGATGCATTTTTGAAGGAGGCCCTTTCAATCACTTTCTGAATTCTACAAGTTACAATCTTATGGGCAAATATAATGCTAACAAGAGAGAGAGACTCACAGGGCATTTCTCGTCCCTCTTTATCAGATTGACATGAACAGAAGACCTTCTATCAGCAGGCTCAAGCTCTTTAGGACATTCAGACTTTCTGATGCTCTGTATTGAGATGCAACCAAGTTTGTAATACAACAAGAAAGGCCATTTGGAAACATAACGATTAATTCCGTCATAAAAAATTGAAAACATATAGAATGAAACACCTGTTTGCAAGATACATGAAATGGAAAAGACTAGATCGCAGATAGCCAATCTTAGTAATTGCAGTCATACAACTTGGTATTCACTCCAAAAGATGAACAGAAATCATCCACCTCCATACACCTGCCACTTTATTTCCCTTCTTTAATTCTATTTATTTCATAGGTGTTAATTCCTAATTTCCATTACCTCTAAGAAAGGTGCATTTTCAGGATCATCCAACCTCCTCAGAGGGCCATCATTCACTGTGAAACCATTCGTCCAAAAAACAATGTTGTGAATAACAGCCTCAGGCTGCTGAGGTGCAGAAGGTACAGTTTCCCCTGAGAGCAATCTGCCGGTTCCAGTAAAACTTGTTGAGCTTGATGATGGATGAAGATGTTCGAGAGGCCCTTCTACGGCTCCCAGTTGCCTAGCTTGATTGAAAATCTCATCTACATCAGTATTCTTTGAAGGATCTTGAACAAGCATGCCACTGCAAAAATTAGAGTTATAGTTGATCATCCTTAAGCATTTCCTCATAATGTATTGAATTGCAGGGTTGGTATTTTCTTTAGATGAACTCACTGAGAAAGCTTAACATAGAAAAGGAAATGGCTTCAAATGATAGATAGAATGACGAATGTGTAATTAATATATCAACCTATTCCCACACCTCACATCAGATGCGTAGATCAAAACATAGCAGCTAGTACTTAAACTGGAAATACATCCAAATATCCAGCACCATGGACATTCCAATACATTGTGAGGAAAACAACACAAACTTTTGAATGAAGCCTTACCTACATTGTGTAAAAATCAAATTTTACTTGTGATCATGCATACCAAATTGAAATACTATATCAACAAGTTTAAAAATTGCTTGCAGTGAATTTTTATGGAAGAAAAAAGCTACAGATAATATGCTTCGGTGTGCCGAAAAACAAGATAACACCACTTATTCAAACGACACAAGAATTATACATTATTCACCAAAATTTCTAAAACAAAGAAAAATCTACCATGCTCGAATGGAAATTGTTGAACACCTCATTGCTATAGCAGTTTTTGCTTATCATATTATCATACTGGCATAGGCTTCCTAGGCACTAAAAAACTATATTTCAATGTGAAAAACAATGTTAACACTTTGCAAAGATTAACTTTCCAATCCCACTCACATCTTAAAGTCTCCCAATCAAGTCTCCCCAAAGCAGATGATGAAGATCTAAATTACTCTGAAAAACTCCCCCAGCAAGTTCTTACACAAATTTTCATCTAAAAATTAGGTTCTTATTCCAGTCAACATCCTCACTGCATAGTTCCAAGGTTTAATTCCAAAGCAACAGCGAAAACCTCCCCTTTCTGTTGTAATCTTCAAATTCATCCTCAAACAGTCAAACTCCATACGAATTAATCAAGCTTAAAACTTTAACAAATCAGCAATAATTACATCCTCCGTCGACCTTTAAATTTCCCCAACAATCAATTAAACAATTGGATAATAATAATAATAATAATAATAAATCACATCGGCATCAATTAAATTAAGAAGAGAAAAAAAAAAAAGAAAAAAAAGAAAGGGAGGACCTTTTCTCGCCACCAGTGTAGTACTCCTGGGGGCTATCGGAATCGCTGTCGGAATCGGGTCCAGACAGGCGGTTCAGATCCGAGAGAGTTCGTATGCCACCGGCTCGGCTGCTTGAGGGCTTCGCTGGTTTCTTGTCACGTGAGGCCATTGGTTATGTCTGACACTGTTTTTAAGAAGAAAAGTTCGAAGAGAGAGTGAGAAAGAAGGTGGAGGAAATTCTCTGGCTAGACTCGTGCGGACGCAAAGATAATTGATTGGAAAATGGAAATGGAATTTACTCACGTTCGCTATTTATTCTTTTTCTCCATCGGTCAACAACTTAAACTGGATCTTTGGTTTCACCTTCAGCTTTCCATTTGTTTTTACAGACATGATAATAACACTATAACACTATTGTCGGCTGATTTTGTCGTTACACCAAAGCCCATGTCTTAACTAATTTGGGCCTTTCGCCCTTTTCTTAACAGATACTACTGGGTTCTTGTCTTTGCAATCAAAATGGGCTTTTCTTTTAAATGGGCAGTTCATAAAATACAACAATCGGCCCATTTCGACCGCATTAGAGTCCAGATTCCCCTCAACGCTCCAATTCTTTTTTTTTTCAATTACGCTTTTAAGCAATATCAATGAACCATAATCGATGATGCGATTTAGCGATTTTGGTGATGTGGATATCTAATTCACGCGTGAACCTCGACTCTGGGCCCTGACATGGAATCTACTTTTGTGTTCTTTCACCGAACCAGCTATCAGTAACCACTATCTCAGCCGTTTGATTCTTTTTATTAATCTTGTCGAGAGTGCAAAGCACCCAACATGAGATAGCGTTAATGGCAGACCCGAGTGCTCGAACAGTACTGAAACGGACGGCTAGCAAAGACGAGAGTCGACTAAAATACACCTGCGATGCTGGATTCTTATCTACAGCACGCCCCTCCCGAACTCCAAACCTAGATGAAGAAGATTCCAACGATCCACTTAGTTTTGATTCCGACAGCTGTGACTCAGAATGTGAATCGACACCCTTGACAGATCTATCGGCCAGTCTCAGGGTCTTCTCCGATTCGATGCTTAGGATGGAGCTGGTCGGGATGGAGATGGTCAAGGCAATAGAAGCTTCGCGATGTGAGGCGGAGAAGCAGAGGGCGGAATCGGAGGCCGAGTTGACTCGGATGATGTTGCGAACTCAGTCCCAGATCGCTTCATTTATTGCTGGAGATGGAGGGAATAGGAAGAGGAAGCGTGCAGCAGAAGACGAACCAAGGGACTCCTCTGTTAGGTAATACGGTTATCCCTCTCGGTTTTTTTTTTTTTTTTAAATAACAGTAATCATCCACTTTAGTAATTTTCATTGACTAATGCAGGCAAGGAGCTTTGCTGCTGAGTCTGCTGCAGTGCAACTTGATAGTTTGAAGCTTCACTAAAATTAATAGAATAATCTATGGCTATCTATCAAAGGAGAAAACAAATGTGGCTTTTGTTGTATCACTATCCATGTAATGTAATGTAATGTACTCTGATTAAAGGAAAATTCTAAGGAAAATTATCATATTTGTCTCTTTCTATATACTTGATCAACTATACCTTTGTTGATTGTGTAGATAGCAAATCTAAATGAGGTTTCTTCATACGCTGATTAGGGTTTTGGTTTCTCTGCTCTGCAACACTAAGTAGAGCCTTTCTTCGATTGATGGCGCTTTTGATGTATTCTTCCAAAGGTGGGAGAGACTGTTGTTCTTCATTATTAGTTGCTTGTCCTCGAATTAGCTGTCAAATGCCATGAATGAATGAATGAATGAATGAATGAATGAATGTAAATAGTACAACATGGAATAGATCAAAGCATATGTAATAACTTTGATCAAATGCCATGAATGAATGTAAATAGCACAACATGGTGTAGATCATAACATATTGGGACTAGAGGGAAGGATAAGTCATACCTTTGACGCCCACGACCGCTCTGCTTGTTGGCATGCATCCCGGATGTCCCTCCCAGACATTCTGGATATTCCAAATGGCAACGCTCGATAAGTTCCAAATTTTATCATAGGAATAGAAAAAAAAGATGCGGATGAATGGCAGAAGATTAGTTATGTTTGCTTAGATGAGCTTTACAACAAAAAGAAAAGGTTGAATTCTATTAGAGAATTTTAGAAGTGAAGCAAAATAAACATAAGGAAACAAAAAGGCTCTTGCCATACATATATTTGATCATATTTGGGACATTCCATGTACTCAAGAAATTAAGATAACAAAATTGGACTTACTCATCTGTGACTCGAGCAAGTTCAACTAACTCTGATTCTGTAAGGTGTTTAGCATACTGAGCTGCTATTTCCCGACGGTTTTGCTCATCAGGTAGGCCAAAGCCAATCATTGAATCAAAACGACTAAGAACACAAAAAGTGTGATTCAGAAACATTTCATCAGCTCAAGATATAATTGGCCTCTACATGGCATGAGAGACTGCATCTTTTTACCTAATCAATGCAGGATCAAGATCTTGTTTTCTATTTGTAGCAGCAATGACAACCACTTTCTTGTCCTGTTCAAATCCATCAATCTGCAAAAAGAATAATATATTTTCATTAATGGCACCATAACAGCATCATTATGTAGGCAAGCAGAAAACTTGATTAATTGTTTCTCATACAAAATAGTGGATTGCATTAAAAATAGTTAAAGCTTAAAACCTGTGTAAGACAAAGGCAAAAGTTGATTCTCGGACTGCATTCTGTGAAGGATAATTAGCAATTTATATACAGCAGATCAGCAAAAAATCAATCCTATGAGATTAGGATTTCTTCTTCACAACCATATTTTTATGCCTTTTAAACATAGTTCTTAGATTATGGGGACAGCTTACTGATTCATACAGCATAACAGTTTGACAGAGAGACAAAAGCAATAACAAGCAGGCTACAATTGTTATGCGGAAATAGACCAGGTTGCTCGTTTTATTAGCAGCCTATTTCATGCACTGAAAGGGCGATTCTCTACCAGCAATTGCAATATTTTTGGGTAAAGGACATTGCATGCTGGAAATGATGAGAAACAAAACTCTTAAAACCTAAAATAACCAAAAGTTGATGTTTTTAACCGGCTAGCTAAGAGGTTGATTTTCATTAGTAACCAAAACCACTGGAAAATCCATTTTCACCTGTCGCAATAGCACTGACAAAATTCGACGTGTAGCTTCATGAATTTCACCATCACGAGCAGTGGCAAAAGCATCAACCTGTAATGGAGGCTGTCTTATCAAGAATCTTATACACAACTTAAAAGCAAATTGAATGATCTAAAAATGACAGTAGGGAAACCAGTGGCTCATAAATACACAGGAAGGCATTGTTGCTTAATCATTACTTGCTTCATTTACCTCATCTAAAAATATAATAGAACCATCAGGGAGCTGATTGGCAAGAGAGAACACTTGCCCCAATAAGCGTTCACTTTCACCATAGTACTTTGACAAAACAATCTCTAGTGGCACATAGAGCAATGGAACACCCTTCAAGGCATGCACATGCTTCAGTTCATTATAGATCTAAATAAAATAATCTCATAAAGAAAATTTCATATTACTATGAATTATGCTACAAAGAATAAAGCGAAGTCTTATGCCAAGCAACAAATACAATTTTAAAACTTTAATTAAGAGAGAGTGTGTGTGCGTGTGTGTGTGTGTGTGTGTTGGTTGACATCAATGTTATAGATGAGAAACTTGCTGCTTACTGCCTGATTAGCAATAACACGAGCACAAGATGTCTTCCCTGTACCTGCAATATGTAAGATTTAGAAATAAATGAATCAGTTCAAAACTGCATTTTCAAGATCATGAATCAATATTTCTTTCAGGGTTGAAAAGCAAACCCGGAGGTCCTTCAAAGAGTACAGCTCTAGGTCTATTTGACTCAAATTTACGACGAGTCCCACGGGCAATATCATCATATACTTGGGGGCTATTTAGAGCCAGTAAAATTGTATCTTCTATTTCTCTGAAGCAATAAGAAGTTATACATATTTCTCTGAAACACAATCTTTGCATATTCTATGTTTGACTGAAAATAGAAAAACAAGGAATACAATAGTCATTGAGTCTTTTACATACCGTTTCTGTTGATCATATCCAGCAATATTGTCCCATGATATCTCACTGTATGAGTTATTCTGACGTGGTGCATCAAGTCCATAAATTCTCACCCCCATGGCCTTCAGGCTATCGATTGATTTTTGTGCACCCATCTGTGGAGAACTTTCCCTTGGTTTTGTTACCAGAGTGCTACTTCGTGCAAACCTTCCACCAGCTAGTTGTAAGGCAGAGATCAAGGCATCAAGCTCCTTGGTATTCAAACTGCCTTGCTTTATAAACTCAATTTCCTATAATAATATGTACAGCTAATTAAACAATTACTTTGTGAAACATAAATTAAAAAAATAATGCAATCTCATTCATACTACACTATTGTCAGAAGCTGTAAGAAATTAAGACCAACCGCTTTGTCTGAGCTTACGAGAGACCGGAAAATGAGGATGCATAAATCCCCTCCATCTCTATTCCTATCTACTGAATGTCCTTCATTTACTCCACTTTCCTTCAGATTCTCAAATGGATTAAGCGTCAGCTGCCAAGCTACTGAACTGCAACAACAAAAAGGTTGGAGATACTTAATAACTTCACATAATTTTAATGTCAAAATAAGTGCAGCTGCTGGTTTAAAAAGAAATTCATAATTGACAACCTGTCCCATGCACGCAATAGCACATCTGATCCACCACCATGCTCTTCAACCTTCAGCCCAAGATTTGAAACAAGGTTTGCAATCAATTGTGCAACTTCACATGTAGGATGAATCTGGAACTTGATTATAACCTATAACAAGTGTACTCCTATTAAAAATACTTGAGCTCAGCAGAAATAGCATGAATCCAGTTATACACCTACTACCAATTTACAGATGAAAATTTGCACTGAAACTTGCTTTCAGAAAAGAAACTACTTAATATAACAAAAAACACTAAAAATCATCCGAAAAAGAAATAGTTCCTTATAATAGTATTATCACCATAAGCGTCTCCTTCTAACCCATAATTCAGGCTAGGGTAGCCAAGAAAAAAAAAAAAAAAGAAAGAAACTGAAACAAAATAAAAGGAACCTTTTGGCCCTTGACAGCAACAGTAAACCGTGGATAAGAACCATTTTTCATTCCTTTATCTTTAAGCAACTCTTCAATTCGCTGCCTCTCTTTCTTGGCAGTTTCCTCAAGGTTGACATGATTTGCAGGAGGTTCCGATGGAAGAGGAGGTTTGGAAGCAACCTGCAAGAAACTAGTTTCGCTATAAAATCAATTCAAATAATGCATCTCCAAACCATCATAACAAGTATAAGCTTATGGTACACATTCCAGCAAACACCTTCCTTATGGAGAGAGGGGAGGTTGCTTGACATGTTAGAATTAATATTGAGTAAGACATAACAAAGTTTAGGGTGATCATTTCAGGAATAATAATACAAAAAATAGGTATAATAAGGGAGAGGGGGGGGGGGGGTAAGAAATGGACATCAATATCTGGTGCCCAGAAATATAAATTGCACAAACCTCATCAGCATCAGAATAAGCTGTTTCTATCACTCCCGCTCCTAGCAAACCAGCTAAGACAGCTGGAAGTATAGAATAAGACCCAGAAGCAGCAGCCACCAACCTTAGCTTCTTGACATCTGATCCAATATTACAATTTGAGCCTTGAGAAGAACCTGCTCCCAAAAAGAAAAAAATACAAACTGAAACTACATCCCAACATGAAATAAGCAGTTAAGCACTCTATTTCCTATTCCCCCTGGTTCAAAGTTCATAGGCAACTTGAACTATGCATCAATAAGAAACCCTAAGCCACCACCAGTCTACGAGCATACAATTTAACCAAAAAAATAAGAAAAGAAAAAAAGCATTAATTATATGCAAGAAGAAAAAATCTTTCTCCAAATAACCAATTTAAGCGAAAGCATTTTAACTTTATATACATTTTCACACAAAAAATCCCCATTTGAAAACGTCAAGAATCTTGGTTGTTTGGACTTTCGTATAAGACTTTAAAAACAATGTTAATCATCACATAACAATCAAATTTTATGAAGCAACCTCCATTTGACTAAATTGCAAACAGTAACTTTAGGCGGTTCTGAACATGTTCTTTCAAATTGCATTACAGAGAAAAAAACAAATAAAGAGACAGAGGAGGAAGCCTACGGCGGTATAGAGGAGGAGGGAGGTCACGTAAGGGAGCACGTGAAGGGGTTAGGGTTTTGGGAGGGGCGATCCTGCGCCATGATCGGGCAGTCCTTACTAGTCGCTCCAAAACTGCCATGGAAAAAAGTAACCGTCCCTCTCAGCCTCTCTTTAGTCTCTTGTCTTGTGTAAAAACAAATGATAATAACAATAAGAAATAAAAAAGTGAATTTTGAATGAGCTCCAAGAATCCCTTCTTTTCTTTGTTTGTATCAAAGAGCCCGCCCAAGTCGGTGACCCGCTGAAAACTCGCAACTTCTTCTAGAGCGTTCCACTGCTTTGAGAATTCTGGACTACCCGCTGTTCCTTTAAAATACATTAAGTATATATTATAGTATATATAGATATATTTATTAAATAAATATATTTTTTAAAGGCCAAAAATTAAATACTTCTTTCAAATAAGGTTAAATTTATATATTTAAAAAGGTTTTATACTCCTTATTATTTTAAGTAATTTTAATCTATATACTATTTTTTTAAAAAAAAATTTACTTTGAAATGAAATTTTTTTGCCTAAGATTTCGATAATTATTTTAAATTTTTATTAATCTAAAATCGAATCTTATAAAAAATTAAATTTTTTTAAATTTTTTTTTCTTTTTCACTATTGGAACCACAAACGATGGTCTTAAAATCTGACGTTCATCCCAAGGCAGTCATGTATGTTGGATGTGTTATCAAATGGTAATCATGCACTTCGCAATGATTTGTTAAAGGTATATAGAATAGTATTCTCAAAATTTTTAACTGTTTTTTATTTATTTTACAAAATTTCAATTGTTAATAATTTAATTAATAACAAATAAAAATGGTTGGGCCAAGTTAATACCAAAAAAGTCCTCTTGGTGCTTTTTATAAGTGGGCTTTGACCTGAATTGATGGCTCAACTTGAGCTAATCCAATAAAAAGTTGGGTTTCATTTGGTTAGTTATTGGGCTCAAAACGGCCCTATAAACAATAATTACCTTCTTAAAAATTGAACTATGAATTTCTTGATGTATTTCATATTTTTAGTCTTTATTTAAGAGCCGTTCTTACTTCTTACTTCAAAAGCATCCTTAAATTTCTTTATTATAAGTAAATTTTTTAGGCATAATATTAAGCTCTTTTTTAAATAATCAGTGAACTAACACTACATATATGCAATATGGGCCATGTTAGGCTCTAAAACAAGATAAAGAAAAATGCAATTACAAGAAATTCAATCTACATCATTAATCATTTTTGCAACATAAAAGAAGAGTTGCAAAAGTAGCTAAGAACAAGACGAAAGCAAAGACATGGCTTTGTTCTTAAAACAACTTTCTTTAATATATGCCTGGACCCGTTCTTGTGATAGTATAATCAAATCAGACTATAAATAAGGCTTCACTATGGCAATATCTTTTGACCAAAAAAAAAAAACTAATCTAAAAATATGCTTGTGGAAAATGCTGTTAGAAATCAATAAATGGTTGAAATCAAGTTTATATTCCCCTGTTCTTAATCAGTGCTTTAGTTAGAATCTTGGATTTGCATCTGTCAATCTTTCTTATACTTCAAAAAATATCTTGAACAGTTATTTTTCCATCCTTCTGACACATGAAGAGGGCCAGTCATGACTCATGACACATCTGAAGTTGGTGCATTTGGGCTTTATTTCTTCAATCCCCACAACTACATAAACCTTACAAGGGCCCTCCTACTAAGAGCCTATCTCAACATAAAGCCATTTTATCTTTCACTTCTACCCATCACCCGCATGCTTGGTCATCAAACGCGCCCCCATGGCCATACTTTCACTTCCCTTTTCAAAGCCGCCTCTACGTCGCTCTCCTTACCCGCCCTCACTTGCTCACCCCTCCATGCACAAGCCCCAAAACGTGGCGTATTGGATGATCCATTTGTGCAAACATCATTGCTTGGACTGTATACTAAACTCGGTAGCCTAAGTAATGCAAGTAAAGAGTTTGAAGAAACTTTTAACCCTTGTATTGTCGCGCGAAATGCAATGCTTGATGCTTTTGGGAGCAATGGTGATATGGGTTCTGCTCTTTTGCACTTCCAAAGCATGATTGAAAATGATGTGGTTTCTTGGACAAGTGTTATTAATGGTTTTGCAACGAGCAAATTAACAGTTTACAAAGGCGATTCGGGTTTTTGAGAAGATGATAGGTTTTATGGTGAAACCGAATGAGGCTACTTATGTTACCGTGCTCTCTTGCTAATTTAGAAGGGAGAGATAGTCTTTATCAAGGGAAGCAAATACATGGATATATTCTTAGAAATGAGGTTGTTATGACTGTTTTCATCGCAACAGTGTTGATTGGTTTCTACGGAAAGAAAGGTTGTTTAGAGACTTCCGTAAGAGTTTTTAGTCAAATGTTGGTTGGAGAGGTTTGTGCTTTGGAATACCATGATCTCTAAGCTTGCATGTAATGGGAGGGAAAAGGAGGCTTTGGACATGTTTGTGAAGATGAAGGTGGATGGAGTGTCTCCCAATGAGGTTACATTAGTTGTTGTTCTTACGGTTTGTGCTCGCACCAAGACAGTGGAGTTGGGTTCAGAATTATTCCAATCAATGTCATGTCAATATGGCATTGTGCCAATAATGGAGCACTACAGGTGTATGGTAGATCTATTCTGACTGAAGCAACCGAGTTTATAAGGACTATGCCATTTCAACCTGATGCGTCAGTTTTGGGGCTCTTAACTTTTAGGCGCTTGTAAGATTCATGGGGCCATTGAACTTGGAAATGAAGTTGGGAGAAGGTTGCTCGACTTGCAGCCACGACATTGTGGACTCTATGTAGCATTGTCTATCTTAAATGCTGATAAGGAGAGATGGGATCGTGCAGCTGACATGAGGAAAGCAATGGTAGAGGCAGGAATCAGGAAAGTTCCAGCGTATAGCTTGATTGGTTCCATGTAAAAAGTCCTGTCAATGCATCATATATGTCTAAATAATCACATGGATTCTGCAGTAGCGATATGCTAACGGTAAATATTGGAAGATAAGAGAACAAAGAGGACAACTTTCTAGTTGTTGACTGACGGCATAGTTTGTGTCGGGTTGACGGATAACTTGAAGATTCTAACGATCTAATTTGAAAACGTTTGAGAGCTCTGCTCATCATGGCAGTGGAATCCCATTCGGAACACTCATGGTAAACTATGAAATTCGTCTGTAATATATAAATACCCCTTTCAAGTTACAATTACTAGTCCATGCCTAGTCCAATGTTACAATCATATATTTTAACTTATATTGAACAATCAAATATATTCTATATGATAAATTTATTTAATTCAATGATACATATACTCATTCTTTTATGTAAAGAACTAAATGTCTTAGTTGAGCACAACGAAGACGCAATCAAATTAATATGAGACTTACACATGAAATATCATGTTATTAATTTGTAAAGATAAATCAGATGCATGCATGCTTGCAGTTGTCATTAGCCTGCCTAGAATGGAAATTATTTTATAATAAAAAATACTTTTTGATGACATAGATTTGTTATTTGAAAGAAATTGGGATTCAGAACTCCTTTTTTTTATGGTGGTGGCGGCATAGACTGATCGTGTGCAGCATGAGGGTATTCAAAATTGCAATATACTCTGATTGTGGGCCATATCTGAGGTAGGAAGGAGTGTTGGTGAGGGAAGGGATAGATAGATGCCTTTGTTTGGGTGGCGTCCATTTGGAGGGTGGTTAACATAAAACATGATTGATTTGAACTTGATAGACAAATCATTGTTTTTAATTTGACTTGACAGGAACAAAATAGCTGAATAGCCTGTAGAGATTTGGCAATATATAGGGGACAAGAATCTGAATTTTATAACAAAAGCTCTCATCAATGTTTGGTTAATGATGACCATGTATGGCAAGGTCTTAATAAAGTTTGAATCTCACCGGAAAAGAGGATCAACGCAACTCATTTGAACTTCACCTCATTCGAAACTTACAGACTATATATATATATATATATATATATATATATATATATATTACTGCATAAGGTTAAGAAGATTATGCAATTTGGTTATAAAATAGGGAAAGGGAGAAAAGAAGATTTTAAAAGTTTACTAGCATTTGATATATATTCCCCTCTTATACGTAGTTATATTCATGCATTATGATTGGTTTTTGGTTTTTTCTATTTTGATTTGTTTGATAAGAAAAATGCTATCTTGCAACTAAAAATACGTAAGTAAATAAATAAATAAATGAATGATTTTTCATGGAAAATGAAACACTTGGCAAGGGGGAGACCTCCGTTATAGCGCCGGCTTCAGCGACCGTTTGACTTTGTTTCTTGGCAGGCGAACACCTTTTCCTAAATCCTAATTACTACAACTACACAACAAAAACCACACCTTTGAGTAATTTCTTCATCTAAATTACTAGTGCTACGAATCTCAAAAATCAAACCCTGCCCCCAACAATTAAAAATAATCTAATCCAAAATTAGACACCCGAAAAGTTTTGCTCTTTTCTCCAACTCCAAGAAAAGCCATTCATAAGGAACCCCTCCAAAGTCCAAACCCCAACCCCAAGCACCCTCCTCTCTTTCCTCTTCTTCTTTTTTTTTTTTTTTGGTTGTTTGCTCTCTTCTTCTATTTTGTCCTTGTCTAATGTCTACTACTATTTATTACGCTCTAAACTTTGCAAAAACAGTTTTTTTAGAGGCCATTTAGTTTTGTTCTGTCATTTTCACTAGAGTGAATCAATGCCAGAGGTGAGATTGTCTTAGTTGTTGGTTTCAAGTAATAAACTCACGGGACTTCCATGACCTGCTGTATGCCTTCTTCCTTCTTAACCATCTTCACACTCTTTTCCCATGCTTAAATACGTTCTTCTATTCTACCTAGCTAGTTAGTTGTTTTCTAGGTTTTCTTAGCATTTGCATTTGCAGTACTCGTGTTAAACAAAAATGAATCAACTCAGTGTGAAATTGCAGGAACTATTGCAGGGAGAAAGGGAAGCAAGAACGATCCTAGGAATTCTGAAAGAACAAATGGAAGGTGTAGATAGGGAAAGGAGGGGGAGGAGTTTCAAAGAACGGCTAGGATTTAAAGTCATGGGCTGTTGTGGGACCACCTGGGGATTCGGGTCAACGACCATGAGGGTCAGAGTAGACGATGACGTTGAGGTAGAAGAACAAGAGCAGCAGCAAGAACGAGTAGAAGCTATGAATTCGGCTCATAATCCGCATCCAGGTTGCGTTAACCCGGTTCCAGTTTCGTCAGGCATGAATCTTGCAGCGGCTTTAGCAGCCGAGCAACATTTTCGGGCACAACAAGGAC